ACCACCAGCACGGGTGGAGAGAAGGAAGCAGAAGTCGTCACTGCCCTCGGCATTGAAATGGTCGATGGCCATACGGCGCGGACCGGCGGGGATAGTGCCGTCAAGACGTTGGAACGTGTGGCCACGGACACGGAGATAATCGCTTAGAAGGTCAAGCATTTTCACCATCTGACTGAAGATGAGGACACGGTGGTTGTCCTTCTTGAGCTTTGTCAGAAGCTGGTCAAGAAGCATCATCTTACCACTGCTGGCAATGAGACCCTTGATTTGGTCTTCTCGGCGCTCGCTGCCCTTGAGAACGCTCTCTTCAACGCCGGGAAACAGGTAAGGATGATTGCTGACTTTCTTCAGCTCCATCATGATGTTCAGCAGCGATTGCTTCTGGCCACCACTTGCGTCGCTGAGGGCGGCGTAGTTGCGAGTCAGAATGTTCTTGTAATAGTCCAGTTGAACATCCGAAAGCTCGACACGAATGATCTTTTCCGTCTTGGGCGGCAGGTCTGACTCGACTGTTTCCTTGGTCCGGCGTAGAATAAAGGGAGCGATGGCTGCGTGGAAGCTTGTAAGCTTCTCTTGCGTCTCACGGCGCTTGTCATCGTCATCGTTCTCTTCCTCTGTCTTTTGATCTGCCATTCCAAGCTGGACGAGGTCATCGTCGATGACGACCTTGCCAGGGTTGAGGAAATCAAGAAGGGCCGAGAGCTCGTGCAAGTTATTCTGTATTGGCGTACCGGTAATGAGGACGCGGCATGGGATGTTGAAGCTGACAAGGCGGCTGTAGAGCTGCGACTCACGGTTCTTGAGACGGTGCGCCTCGTCGACAGCCAATACCTGCCACTTGATGCTCTTAAGGAACTCCCAGTCCTGCAGAATGAAGTCGTACGAAGTGACGAGGACGTTGAACTTGTGCTTCTTGGGGTTGCCGTCGACAAGCAGTTCGTAGTCGCGGATCACATTGCGCGCGGATTCAGGGCCAAGGTAAACGACGTAGTTCAGATCGGGCGCCCAATGGTTGAAGGTGTCGCACCACGCAGGGATGACGCTGAGGGGCGCAACGACGAGGAAAGGCCCTTCTTGTCCACGGTCGTTGCGTAGCCAGCTGAGGAAGGATACAGACTGTACGGTCTTGCCCAGACCCATCTCGTCGGCGAGGATGACGTTGTTGCCTCGCGTCCAATTCAGGGCAAGGAAGTTGAGACCTTTCATTTGGAACTCGCGGAGCTCACCGTTCTTGATGTAGGACGGCTGGGTGTCAAGCTTCGTCATGCGAGAGCGTGTGTTGAGGCTGGTCTCTGTCCGGTCGGACGTCCAGGATCGAGACGAGCGATCCAAGAACTGGTCGACCTTGTCCTGAGCATGTTCGCTGACAGTCTCCGCAGCTTCCCATGTGCATTCGTCGTATTGGAGGCCCTTCCACTTGATAAAGTATTCGACGCCCTCCTCGCCATTGCGCTTGGCCACAACGCGCTCTACTTTTGTGTAGTCCTCGTGTGCTTGTTCCTCGCGCTCACGGTCGAGCAGCCATTGTTCTCTTTGCTCCGGGCTGTAGTCATCACCACCGAAGCGCATATCGAGCTCGAACTCTACAATCTTACGGTAATAGTTCTCGAGTCGACGAAAGCCACGGAAACCGGCAACAGACGCAGTTGTCTCCCACGTGTCGTGTAAATGGGACTTCCCTTGCCACTTGACGTAGTATTCGTAGTCATGCCGGTTGGAGTCGGGCGTGATGGTGACGCCTTCCTTTTCCCGGTGTCGGACGATCTTCTCGATGTAGGGAGAGTTGTCTTCCACTTCGGGTACCCACTGGACAGGCGTCGTATCGTCTTCGTCGTCCTCAAAATCGCTCTCGTTGTATTTTCCGACAGATACCTGGGCAGCGCGACGGCTGGACCATCTCTTCTCGGCAAAGGCCAGCGACGGTTGGGCTTCCTGCTTGCGGCGCGCCTTCTTTTGAAAGCTGCGGGCACGGGCGCCCCCGTAGTTGTCGGAGTCTGATTCGTCGACAGATGTGTTCCGTGCAGGAGTACCTCGTTTCGAAGCTATATACGGGGATTAAGAGTTAGTTTGTTTACTTTGGCATCAGAAGGAGGAGTAAGTCGGAAGTGGTGTGGGGCTATAGGCAACAAAGAAGAATGAGGAGGGATTTAAATGAAGCAATGGCAAGTGCATGACTATGGGTGTAGATAGGCAAAGACAGAATCGGCCTGAAGGTACAGAAGCGTATAATGAGGGGCGTAGAGCATACATTGGCGTGATGTCTCGAGCAGCCGTCGTGGCTTCGGCTTCCGGCGAACCACGGGCTGGTCGTCTGAGTCGTCATCGTCCGACACCTAGGACACAATTAGTTACCCAAAGCAGGACGTTGGAAGAGACAGTAAAGCGTGGTTTACTTACAATCTTACGCCGCAGTACGGGCCGTGACTGTAGATTGTGGTTAGCAATGTTGAGGAGAGCCGGGGTACCGGCGGCGGTGAGAAGCGGAAAGGAGCCTTACACTACGCCGCAACCCGTAGAGTTCTGGGTTGCTCCGCATGTATTCATCCTCAGCAAGCATTGCGCTTGCCTTCCGTTTTGGCGCGTGACCAGAGTCACTCGAGGCCGGACTTTCCTCATCGCGGTCAAGGGCGGCGACGTCTAGGTCGGGATCCGCGTCGGCATCAGCATCGGCATCAGCGTCGCTTTGTGCGTCGTCAAAGTCGGCGTCGTCCGAGGTATCGTTGTCGCTAGGCTCCGACGGCTCGTCTTCAAAGTCATTCGCGACAGCTAGATCATCGTCTTCTTCGTCGTCATCGTACTCTTCTGGTGCCGCAGATGCCGAAGAGGATGCCGCGTTTGTATATGTGGTGGGCTCGACGTCGGACAGGTCGCTGTCGCTCAGGTGGCCAGCAGTGCCATTTGCCGTGGGTGTTTCGGGTGCCGGAGACGCGTGTCCATTGACTGGACTCGATGCTGGCGAGGCCGACATGTTTAGACACGTGATCCTATGATATCTGGTGATGGACGGCGAGGTCAGCATGATGCGGCCAAGGACGGTGAGGTTTTTCCGGTACGGAGGATGTGCAGGGCAAACAAGGGGATTTTACGCGATATAACGACAGCAAAAGCGCATAACACGTCAGATCAATTCACGAATAGGCACCGGACACGACCTGTCGCATCGCTTTGATGGATCGCGACGCTCAACGAGGCTGGGAGATGACAGTGAGGCATTGCGGATGCCCAGGCAAGAAGCAACGGCAGCCAGTATGACCGTGGCATCCGCAGCAGCAAACCATAGCCCCCAAAACACGTCGAAACGCCCAGATCACTTCGCGACAGGATACATCCGAGATGGGCCCGATGCAGGTCGTCGCTATTTTGGTGATGATCGATGGCCAATGTACAGCGAAAAAACGCAGTAGGGCAACAGATGCCCCCAGGGCAAAACGCACAGTGTCTTGCAAAGCACAGATGAATCGACGTACCATTTAAGAATATTCAACGACCTCCAGGTCGAGAACAAGGTCTAAGCCCGCTCGAGGTTTATAGTCGTTGCCGGTGATGATGTGGTGGAGGAATGGCGGTTGTCAGTATGGGGAATCTAGCGAGTGACTTTGATGTGTGTGATAAAAGTGTGGTGTCAACTGCGAGAAGGACGGAGAATTGCATTTCAGCTAAGGGACCAGGGCGAGAAAAAAGTGGAAAGCGCCAGCAAAAAAGAGTCAAGGCTTTTACCAGACTTTAATCCAATCACAGGCAATTGTTTGCTTATGTAATCCAATGCAGACCCGTTTTTACAGTGCTTGACTCGCTAAAGAGTGTTCAACATCTATATGCGGCTAGCTGAACTGGCGCCTGCCTCTGTCTCTATTAAACGGAAGGAACGAAGGGCCTGCAACTTCCCGAAGCACAATAAGAAGCACTGCCACGAGCTCGCTCAGAATAGGTTTTTATCGCTATGCTGCTTGCCAAAGACGTCCAAGAAACACAGCGCGCTTTAGCCACATGGCTACCACAATAATAGCACGCTGCATGTTCACGTTGCATTTAGTGACTAGCCGCCAATGTATGTCGTAGAGGCATGTTATATATCATTGACCAATGGGTCAGGGTCCAATTGAAGAAGCGGCTATGTTTGGCCTCTGTTTTGGAAAGCGCGACCTGCAAATGTAATAATGAGACCTCTTCGCATAACAGTCTACTGGATTGAGTGCTGCATTGGCTGCATAGTGTGTTTATTTTCGCGGCATTAAGCGTTCTGAAAGTCAAAGCTTAGAGCATAATTCAATCACTCCATATCAGAAGAAATCGGTGACCGTAAAATATGTTGCTGCAAACAGACGTTCATGGCTGTGCCGCGTCTTGCTGGTCCGGAAAAACTTGTAGCGCGAATAAGCTTACTCATCTTGGAAGACAGCCTATCACTCGCCCCTAAATCTCGATGACTCGAACAGGCAGGTTCCTGCCCACCGCCGTTTGCGAGACGGAAGCCCCGCATAGCACCCTAGCGCGACTGCCCTGTCCCTCACCACAAAAAAAAATTGGCTATTGTGGATTGTCGCCATCATCGTTGTTTCCGACCTTACTTTGGCCTCACTTTGCTTCTGTTTCCCGCCTTTCTTTACTCCTTCGTCGTTTACGTCCCGACAGCCCTCTTTTCCACCGCCATTTCGCAGGACGTTTGCATTCAATTTTGTTCTATTTCGTTTCCTTGAACGTTCGCAACACGTGCTGCCATTCATTCCTGTCGCATATCAAACTACCCCGCCAAACTCAACGACCTCCACGAGAAGTCGCATTAAAGCCATCGACATGTCTGACAAGTTGACTCGGTGCGTATTATGGACCCAGGGTGTAGACGAGAATGCGGCTGTACTCAAGAGAAGCATATACTAATAGTTTTCTGCCTACAGTGTTGCTATTGTTAGCAGCGACAAGGTGTGTACCGCCAGTCCTCCTCCTGCGCCCGTTGAGCACTCTTGAACGACCGACTCCACGAACACATCACCGTCGGCCCAATGGAGGATAAACGGATAGGGGGACTACAGGAAATAGAGAAGGTGTGCTTTGAAATTCGACCGTTGCTGACGTTATGCTCCCCTGCATGTTTAGTGCAAACCCAAGGTACGTCCGTCGTCATGGAACAAAATCAATTCACCGGAAGTCAAGCTAACTGTTGTTTTCTTTCAGAAATGTCGCCAGGAGTGTAAGAAGTCCTGCCCTGTTGTGCGCAGCGGCAAGCTGTGTATCGAGGTCACGCCTGAGTCCCGCATCGCGTTCCTGTCCGAGAGCCTGTGTATTGGTTGCGGTATCTGCCCCAAGAAATGTCCCTTTGGTGCCATCAACATCATCAACCTGCCCACCAACCTCGAATCCCAGGTCACGCACAGATACTCGGCCAACAGCTTCAAGCTGCACCGCCTGCCCACGCCGCGACCGGGCCAGGTCCTTGGTCTTGTGGGAACAAACGGTATCGGCAAGAGTACGGCGCTCAAGATCCTCAGTGGCAAGCTCAAGCCCAACCTGGGCAAGTACGACAACCCGCCCGACTGGGAGGACGTCATCAAGTACTTCCGTGGCTCTGAGCTGCAAAACTACTTCACGAAGCTGCTGGAGGACGACCTCAAGGCCGTTGTCAAGCCGCAGTACGTCGATCAGATTCCCAAGGCCATCCGCGGCCCCAACAAGTCGGTCCAGTTCCTGATCGAGAGCCGCGCATCGCTCGACAACCTGGACGAGGTGCTGGACACGCTTGAGCTGCGCCACATTTACGACCGTGACGTCTCGCTCCTCTCTGGTGGTGAGCTGCAGCGTTTCGCCATCGGCACTGTTTGCGTGCAGAATGCGGACGTCTATATGTTCGATGAGCCGTCGTCGTACCTCGATGTCAAGCAGCGCCTGTCGGCTGCCCGCATCATCCGCTCGCTTCTGCGGAGCGATGATTACGTCATTGTCGTCGAGCACGATTTGTCCGTGCTCGACTACCTCTCCGACTACATTTGCGTGCTGTACGGTCAGCCGGCTGTGTATGGTGTCGTGACGCTGCCGCACTCCGTGCGCGAGGGTATCAACATCTTCCTCGACGGCCACATCCCGACAGAGAACCTGCGGTTCCGTAACGAGTCGTTGACGTTCAAGCTGTCGGAGGGCGCCGACGAATTCATTGCCGATCGTTCTCGCGCATTCCACTACCCCAAGATGGAGAAAACCATGGGCAACTTCAAGCTACAGATTGACTCTGGCGACTTCACCGACTCGGAGATTCTCGTGCTCATGGGCGAGAACGGTACGGGCAAGACCACCTTCTGTCGCCTGCTTGCCGGCGCCCTGAAGCCGGACGGCACCAGTCGTGTACCGGAGATGAAGATCAGCATGAAGCCGCAGACCATCACACCCAAGTTCGACGGTACCGTGCGCCAGCTGTTCTTCAAGAAGATCCGTCCCGCCTTCCTCTCGCCCCAGTTCCAAACTGACGTTGTCAAGCCGCTCAAACTTGACGACTTTATCGATCAGGAGGTGAAGAACCTGTCAGGTGGTGAACTGCAGCGTGTCGCCATTGTTCTAGCCTTGGGTCTGCCTGCCGACATCTACCTGATTGACGAGCCGTCCGCCTACCTTGATTCCGAGCAGCGTATCATTGCCGCGCGTGTCATCAAGCGCTTCATCATGCACGCCAAGAAAACGGCGTTCATTGTCGAGCACGATTTCATCATGGCGACGTACCTGGCAGACCGTGTCATTGTCTTTGACGGTCAGCCGGGTATCAACGCTCATGCCAACGCGCCCGAGTCGCTGCTGACGGGCTGCAACACGTTCTTGAAGAACCTGGACGTCACGTTCCGTCGCGACCCGACCAACTACCGACCTCGTATCAACAAGAGCAACTCGCAGCTCGACCAGGAGCAGAAGGCCGCCGGCAACTACGTGAGTTCATGCCTCTATCCCTTTATAAACCCATCGTTTATGCAAACTAACAAAAACACAGTTCTTCCTGGAAGAGGACAACAGCAAAGCGTTATGAAGGGCGCCCTAAAGGGCTCTTTCAACGAACGTGTGCACGTGCAGACGGTCTTGTCCAGATGGACCGTCCGGCCGTCTTCCCAAGCGTCCGAGCCGACGCATGACCCGCGCCGCGGAGTTTCTCACGAGACGGACAGCGGCGCCGAGGATGATTGCAACCGCGACAACGACAACATGACGACCGGCAGCTCGATGGCGTCTGCTACCATGGCCAACGGTACGCGCCACGGTGGTAATGATGGCAATGACCAGGGCGGCGACGATGATGAGCCAGAGGGCTAACATCGGCTGACGGCAGTCTATCCCCTGTTGCCTGGTCCTACAGTGATTTCGAACCTGCGCGAGACCCTCACCGAGGAGATGACGCTTGTTACAACGCAGTAGATTGAGGGGCAATGGACCAAGTAGGATGACTGCCGTCGGGGAGGTGGAAAGCGGACGGGACCGGGGACGGATACCTAGGTATCAATTAGTGAAGACCAAAACGAGTCGATTTAAAACAGGTTCTGCGCAGATAGCAAAATGCAAGGCAACAATTCATTTGTATTTTTTTTTTACAAAAAAAAACAAAAAACGGATTCACTAGGTTATATCGTAGATTCACTTTGCCACAAGACCTTTATAAACATATGCTACATTTTATTTATTACGAATCCTTGCGGAATAGAATAGATGTGTGGTCGAAGCTAATTAGTTTGCAACAGTCAAGAAAACTCCTTGTCCTAGTTTTCCCGTAAACAAAACTTGACCCCGTGCTTTTCGATTTTAAAGCAAACAAAACCAGAAAAAAAAAAGCAATAGCAAGACCGATACGTACTGAAAATAAGAATAAAGAACGAATACAGGGAGATGGAGGGAGGCAGAAAAATCTGCTTAGGCCCTCTCCCACCTAGCGCTTTGATGCTTATTTTATTCCCTGGTCGTGAGTTACCACCTCATGCACACAACCAGACGACAAGAAAAAAATCGAAAAGAAACTTAGTCTTCTTCAATCTCGCCCTCCTCGCTGCCGCTGTGCATGTCTTCTCCGTGCGCGCCAGCGGCAGCGGCGGCGCTTTTCGACTTCGGCTTTGTGGCCTTTGCAGTCGTCAATTTGGACTTTCCGTTGTCGCCGGCTGCCGCGGTCGGAGCAGACGAGGGCGCTGCGGGAGTGCTGGCCCGCGTCAAAGGTGTCCGCTCGCGCGGTGAGTCGCGCCGCAGACGCTTGGAGTCGCGCGAGTCGCGGCGGTCGGCAGCATCGTCGTCTTCCCTAGTGCGACGGCGGACCGAAGGCGGCTTGTCGTCGCCATAGTTGAGCTCGGCAGGATTCCGGTCGGCGAGGCGACGCCGGTACTGCCGCTCACGCTCTTCCTCGCGTTCCCGCCGTTCGCGATCGTAGTGGCTTTCTGTGTCGCCACGTAGATGATCCCGGTCACGGTCCCGGTCGCGTTCGCGATCGCGTTCGCGTTCTCTGTCACGATCGCGCTCTCGGTCCCGGTCTCGTTCCCGATCACGGTCGCGCAGCCGATCCCGGTCCCGGTCCCGATCCCGCTCTCGATCACGGATATAATCACGATCGCGGTCTCTGTCGCGCCGGTCCCGGTCTCTGTCTCGGTCACCACGCGACCGGTCGCGTTCCCGGTCCCGCCCGTCAAGGCTCTCGGCAGCCACGCTCGATTTGCGGTAGTTGCGTTCACGCTCGGCCATGGCGCGACGACGGTCGGCCTCGTAGGAGTCGGCCTCGGGTGAGTGAGAGCGGCCACCGAGACGGGAACCACGGTGACGTCGGTCTCGATCCCGGTCCCGATCCCGGTCACGCTCCCGGTCCCGGTCACGCTCACGGTCGTCTACCGAGCGATCTCGGCGATCGCGACGCTGCTTGATCCGTTCTTTATCACGCTCGCCGACGTCATCATCCCTGTCACGGAGGCGACGCACGTACTTGTCAAAGGCGGCCTCACGAGCCTCATCGGACGAGACAGCCAAATATTCTTCACTCTTCTGGAGACGGGGTTTCACCTTGTCGTAGGTATCCGTGGCCGTGAGGGGCGGATCCACGCGTTTTAACAGGGCGCGGAAGTCGTCCAGCGCCCGGCGTTGCAGGCGGTCGTCGTCGGATCGCTTCTCCTTTCTCCTTTCTTGCAGCTGGTAAGGTTAGTAAGAAGTGATAAAGAAAGAAATAAAGAAATAAATAAAAACAAGAGAGAACGGAAGGGGTCATGACTTACTCGCTCGAAAATTAGTGCAAGAACCTCTCGGTCAATGTTAGCAGTCCGGCGATCGTCTTTCATCACATCAAGGAAGGAGTCAAACGTCGTCTTGGGCGTGACCTCAAAGTGCTTGTCGTCGATGACGTCCTCGACGTCGTTGCGGGTGCCGCGCAGGGCACGCTGCTCCTCGTCAACGAGGTCCCAGAACAGCTCCTGGGGCGTGGAGCCGGCGCTCTGGCCGACGAGGGCAAGGTAGCGCGGGTCGTGCTGAACGAGCGGGAAGATCTGTGACCACTTGCTGCTAGCCTTGATCTTGCCGTCGCGGGCCAGGTCGCCCAGCAGAGCGGCAAAGGCCTCGCGGTTCTTGCGCTCGCGGCGCAGCTTGGCCGTCTTTTCTTGCTGGCGGGCGTCGTTGAAGGTCCGCTCGAGGGCCTTCATGTGGTTTTGAAACACGGTCAGGACATCAAACTTGCTGAGAGACTGGTACTTCTCGTCATTCACAAAGGGCGGCGTGGCCTCGATGATGGGGCGCGCGTCAGCCCAGCGGGTGTAGGGCTCGAGGTTGAGCTTGGGCAGCAGCTCGACGAGCCCGTCCATGGCGGTCTTGCGGGCGGCAGTGCGCTGCTCGCGGTGGGCGCGGCGCAGCTCGTCAACGTAGTCGTCAAACAGCTGGCGGCGCTCGGCCTCGCTGCTGGTAGAGCGGAAGATGGTCTCGCCCTCGATCATGGGCCGCGCTGTCCTCCAGTGAGTAGAATGCTTGATTTCCGGGTGGCTCTTGAGCATGGTAGCGAAGTCGGCACGTAGCTTGGTGAGCCGCTCCTTGGCGCGCTCCTTGTCGTTGGCAATGACCTCTGTGCAGTATTTGTCGAACGCGGCGCGACGGGCCTTGGCGTCGCGGATGGCGCGGTACTGTGGGTCGCGCACAATGGCACGCAGGGTTTGTTCCCAGGACCAGTCGGGCTGGACACCGCTGCGCCGCAGGAGCTTGACGAACGCGGCCTCGGCCTCTTCGGCGTTGGGGTAGTCGGGCAGGTTGTCGCTGTTGGTCGGGACGAGCGCGCCCGCGGCGCTCGGTGCGTCGTGGCCGTTGCCATAAGCCAGCTGGCGGGATTCGGGTATGTTCTCGCGGTAGTCGCGCTGGTAGTCGCGTCGGTCGCGCTGGGCAGCTGGTCCCGTCGGGATGGCCACGGGGGTGCTGTGATCGTGACAACGGTCAGCCAGAGCCACAATGTGAGTTGTCGCAAACACAAACACAATGCATAGGAGGTGGGTACGTACGCTGGAGTTGCTGGAGTTGAGTCGTGACCGAGTGCCTTTTTGTACGCTTCGGGCATATCCCACGAGCTCTTCTGGGTCTCGGTGTTGAACCAGTACTTGCGACCGCCCTCGGCCGTGTACTCCTTCCACGGCTGATTTAGAAGGGCTCGCTATGCATCACGTTAGAACAAACTGCACTGCCACGGGGAGAACAACCCATCGTCGTCCATCGTCATCCATCGTCATCCATCGTCATCCATCATCACCCGTCGTCTCTGCAACGTACCTCGACTGGCGTCAACATCTCCTCCGGCTTTGTCCATTGCGTCTTGCCCATCGCCGCATTGTGGTAGTAGACACGTCCATCAGCGTTGCGGTACTCGACCCAGCCGGCAACGGCCGATGTCGCAACGGCCGCCGGTGCAGCAGCTCCGGCTGCAGGCGATTGCTCGCCGTTTGCGCCGCTCATGGTGGCTGGCAAGGGCGCAGGCTGTCCGATGCTAAAAAAACGCGTAATAAACAAATCGCTGTCGCAATCGTATCGAGAAATGGAGATAAGATGCAGTATAAAGTTTCGGGGCCGGCCTCGGTGCCGTACGTGCGCCGTGTGATGAAATGCAATTCGTAACAATAGCTGGTGGCCCCGACAGGACGACGCTGGAAACGACGTTGGAAACAAACCTTTTCAGCCTCGTGCAGTTTAATCTCCTTCCCCAGCAATCGCGCCTACAGCTGGTCGATTTTTTTTAGTCTAGGTCACGTGTGGTTCTAAATTGCGTTTGTTGGTGCAAAATAGGCTAACTAACGACAGTATTTTGTATGTCCAAGAAATAAGGCACCTGCAGCCTCTTCCTTGAGTACTCAGTAAACATGACTGCTATTTACAAGCAAATAGTATCAATTCCCATAATCCGTACAAATAATTTGTAACCTGGGCGAAATACTTTTACTTGTCTTTGCTAACACAAACCGGCCCACCGTGTTGCCGCCCTGCACGGAGCAAACCCTGCGACGGGCTTCGTTATGGCAACTCCAGCTTTAACAAGCGGCGGCATCCGACTGATCACCTCATAGCCATCCATCCACCAGTGACGCGTCAAATTGAGGCGACTGACGCGCATGGCCCGCTTCCCGTGGTCATGTCCTGTCGCAGATGTGTTGTTTCGAACCGAATATGATGGTGCTGCCTGTGTTGCTCGGCCATCGAATCGCCGATTAATAAGAACAAGATTTGGCTGTGCCACAGTGATGTGTACCTTTGTCTGTTTGCGCGTTCTTATGCCTCGTGCTCTCCTACAAACGCCGTTCATCTTATTGATGACCTGTACGAAGATTGCTTCATTGGTATGGTTTTGTTTTTTCTCGCTCCTCTTCGTGTTGGGCGAAAGGTAGCTTCATGTGTATATTTTTTTGTACGAGGACGAATAAATAAAAACCAGGAATAATCTAAGAACATTAAACACTAAATGACTTACTGCGAACAGTATCATATCCGAACCAGAACCTTGCGCCTGTCTAGAAACCAATTCCGATGCTCTGTCCCTCCCTTTCATCTATCACATCCCGGGTGCAACATGTATATCCGTGTTGGGTGGCCTTGTAAGTAGTTGGCCATTAACTTGTTTCCTCCCGACTCATACATCGCATAGTAAAAATACAACCACAGACCCTTATTATACGTCGTCGTCTATGTAGTCAGCAGATCTTGCACACTCATCCCTCTTCCTGCTGCATTGCCGTTTCCAGCACCATTGCCACTACCGCCACTGACGCTTCCACTGACGCTTCCCGACGTACCGCGACGATCGCTGTTCAACATCAGCAACGCCGCCGTCGCCTCCTGGTCCATGTCTCGCTGTGGCAGGAGGGCCGGACTCGTCAACGTCGAACCGGAAACAGATGCAGCCGCACTGGATGTTCCTGCGCCACCAATGTTGGGGAGACCGGCGCCGCCACCGCTAGCGCCGTACAAAAACGGCGACGCAGCTGTCGAGAGTGGCAGAGACGGCAATGGGTGCTGCTGCGGACCAAAGGCTGGCGACGTCTGGGCAGAGATCGTAAAGCCGCCGCCAGAAGGGTAGCTGAAGCTGCCGTAGTGGCGACGGTGAGCGTCATTGCTGGCCGCTGCTGCTGTAAGCGAGGCTGAAACAGCAGCTGCCAGGGACGGTGAATAACGTGATGACTCCGTGGAGGACTGTGAGTTGTGACGGGCGTCCTGTTGGTGCGACTGTCGTCCAAAAGCAGATTGTGGTCTATCTTGGGCAAGCAGGGCTGGCGACGAAGAGGCTGTGTGCTGTCTCTGCGGCCGCCGACGACTACTGGCGGTATTCTTGTGTGCGTTCATATCCTCATCGCCCAGCTCATCGTCGTCTTTTTCCGACTCATCGTCCTCCTCTGCCTCTTCTTCTTCATCATCGTCGTCGTCGTCTCCCCTGCCTCTCCGGTTCGGATGCACGTCGTTGTCGTCATCGTCTGGCCCACCGGTACCTGTCATCTCCACATCGGGTGATATTGACTCCTCCGTATATGTGGTGGAGCGATATTGGTGTGGTTGCGTGTTGGGTGAGAGTGGTGGGAAGTTGGAATGCTGGTGTTGGTGTTGCTGCTCGCTTTCACGCTGTGCCTTCAATGTGGCCACGCAGTCTTCAAGGTACCGCACGTACTCGATCGACGCCTGCAAGATGGCCAGCTTGTGCATCTCGCCTGTGCACGCCGGTATCATACCTTTGAGCACGGCGAACTCCTCGTTCATCTTGGACCGCCGCCTCCGTTCGATCAAGCTGTGCGCTGTCTTGCGAGCAATTTTGCGACCCGCAGCACTGGTAGCAGACGGCTGTTTTTTCTTTGAGGCTGTTGTTGTCGCCGAGGCGGGAGTTTCGGTAGCCGCAGAGTCTTCTGCAGCAGCGGCAGCAGTGGCTGCCGCGGCCGCTGCCGCCGCACTATTTCTGCTGCCCTTTGTAGTCGAGGCTGAGCTTGACGTTCCTGTAGGCACAGGAGCCGGTCCTTCGATTTTATCTTTCGTATCCTTCGCATCTTTCCCACTACCCTTCCCAGCTCCAGAGTTGGCTGCTGTCCGTGGCTTCATTTGAATGATCTTGCGTGACCGTGTAGGCGGTGGAGGTAGAGCGAAGGCATCCTTGGCGGACGATGTCGACGCAGTTGTAGTAGTCTGGGCTTGGGCATGTGCCTGTGCTTGTATCTGGGCCTGAACCTGTGCCTGAGCTTGCAAGGCAGAAGACCGCCGGCGGGACTTGACCGTCTCCGCGGCTTGGACAGGGTATGCGGTTTTGGAGGAAGGCGATGACGAGGATGGTCGTTTTGTGCCCGTCGAGACAGCTGGAGGTTTGCTGCTGGGCTCAATGGGAGGTGACAACATGTTGGTGTCGGCGTTCGTAGCCGTCGCACTTGTAGGGGTCGTGGCGGTGTGACTTCCCTTGTTGTTGCCGCTACCAGCAGCGCTGACGAGGGCCGGCGGCGGAAGCTCAAAGGCCATCTGCAAGGAGGTCAGCTCCTTGGAGCCATCCTGGCCTTGGATGTCAGTCGAAGACGCCGGCGTCGGCGGTAATGTTGCTCGCGGCATTGTAGAGGATATGAAGAGAGCCGAGTGGTGAGGTAAGGTTTTTGAGTTGATGTAGGCCTGTCCGATGCTTGTGGTACGGAGGCACCGCGGGAGGCACCGCGCTGGCTTGGCAGTTGGTGATATGGCCAAGCCGGAAAGACAAGCGAGTGGAAACGCCGCAACTCAGGTTAATGCGTTCTTCAGCCACGGTTTTCTCTCGTTCTTTGTGAGAACACCCGCGGTTGTCGTGCACAAAATAAACTACAGCTGGCCGGTGAGGAAGGAAACCATGGCTGCAAAGAAAGAACGTTTGGGCGGGCAGTAGTACGATGAAATCGAAGTCGGCTAACGAATTCGACTTTCGAGCACGGCGACAAGTGAAGAAAAGAACTTGGATGCGGCTCAGGTTGGGAAAAAAAATCGGGAAATGTTGTCTGCAGGTTGTGGATAGGAGCACGAGCAAGGGGTGGTGGGTGGCGGGCGTAAGTAATATGGCAGCGGCCAAGTTGATGAGTGAAGTTTAAGGCCAATTGGGTGGATGCTGAAGCACAAGGGGGGCAAGGGAATCAAGATAAGCAGGCATAGATGGAAACAAAAACTGGGGGGTAAGGAGCAGAAAGAAGAAAGAAAAGGAGGAATACGACAGGAGAGGCGGAAGACAGAAAAGGGACCGCGTTGCAAAAATGCGTAGTCTTGTACGACCGGCCGACACTATCTCGCAGTCCGGTAGCAGGCGGAGGATAGTTTGCAATATTGGGAAGTGTTGTATTTCTTGCATTCGTCTTCAATGTGGTGAGATGTTATATTACTGGCTGTCTGGACTTGCGTCGAGGTGCGGCGAGCTTCAGATTTCAATGGTTTACGAGATGCAATAGAAAAGCAGAAAGAAGCAGAGCAAACGAGAAAAGAGGAGGAAGAAAAGGAAGGACGTAAGATTCCGCATGAAAGGCAGGCGCGATCCGAATATTACAACGCTCGTGGTCCGAGACAAGCAAGGCAAGAAGGAAAGACCGACAGGTGAGGAAGGCGAGACCAAGCAGCCACAGGGAAGAGCCCCTCGTGCTCGTGCCTAGGACAACGATTGCCACAATTGAGAAAGTGTCAAGCGATCACTGCAGACTTGAAGCAGCACCAGCTCACGAGCCGGCCTTGCAAAGGCTTTGGTTGCAGCAAGAGGGCTGACGGCTGTCATTCCGGGGGAACAAGTGACTCGCCCTTTCTCGACGTTGGAAGCTAAGTCGTGGTGTAAGTCGATCTTGGTTCCAGCCAATCCCCGCACGGCACCAACGCACGTTGCGCTGGTATGGAGCACGCGATCTCTCGCCCAAGCAGGAGCCAAGGGCAGAGAACGGAGAAAAAAGGGTAGGAGCTACCAGCACTTAAAGCTCTTGCCCATTTTAGTCAGTCGGCGTGGCAAATTTGCGACCACAGGCACGCTGGAGAGCAGAAGTAGGAGAGAGGGAGAGAGGCTCACTGATCTTGGGTATTGCCTATTGTGGGCGTACGAATACCCAGATTTTTTGTGCAACACGTTCGAGCCTCCTTCAAAGAGTTTCAACAGTTTAGTGGATCGCCGCAGAATATGGGTTTCTTTTTGACATGGTTGTATATTGTAAAGGGATGGTAACGAAAGAGAGACCCAGGTGCCTTCCATTTTTGCGACGGAGTCGCGGCGAAGTACCAAGAGGCACGTAGAACTGGAAAGAGCCATTGGCAACGCCCTTGAGATACAAAAGAATACGCGCCGCAACAAACAACACGATCTGAGCAATGCCAAAGTCATTCGGTGGAGGCCAGGAGAATGCAACTTTCGACGTCCAAAAACCACAACAAAGATCATCCTTGATCCAGCCCGCGCTCTCCCCTGATTCTTCCGACGGCATGGCTCGCTGTTTCTGCGACATGCGCCCGCACCCCTGCCTCGGCGCTGTCGATTCACTGACAACCACTCCCTCCCACCACATTGGGGAAGCGGGCCTTCGATTGGACTGATGGGGGAGCTTCACATATGCGACATTTGCCCCGGACGAAAATGTACTTATGTATCAAATGGCATGGGGTCACGGGCTTGCTCCAGCAGCACGAGACGCTGTCGGCACTCTATGGAGTACGTGCAGACAAGCCAAGCCATGAAAGAGAGGTGGGCAAGGGTGGGGGGGCATGCCATAAATTGTAGCTCCCGGTTGGGGCGAAAGCAAGGAGGAGAGAGGCACGTGGGCTCTGGGACATTGGAAGGCTGCAGCGTCCCTGAATGCCGTAACCGTGTTGTTGCATCGACAGAGCGTCTCCCTATACGACATACACAACCTCATAACTCTCGAAGCGAATTGATGTGGCACGCTATCTACAGAGCTTATTGCCTCTCTCGGTCTGGTTGCGTTTGCCAGCTTTCAGTCTCGCCCAGCCAAGCGCGACGACAAGACTGTCTTATTTCCCAAAACGAGGGAGCACGAGGGCGTTTTGGAGACGCTGCACGAGTCTACGTAGGTACCATAGACAAGCCACAATCTACGAGTACTTTATACCCTTCAGACACGGACGGTGATGCTTCAATTCATCGATTTAATTCGTCAGAAATGTTAGGCTGTTGCTCATGAAAACCGGCCGTGTCATATCCTCGTCTCAGTCCTCCAGCCTCTTATGTCTAATATATTCGTACATAGATGGCTTGTTGTGCTAGTGTGAACAGCCTTCACACAAGAATTGGTATCCTTTCCCTTCCGTCCCCTACATCGTACTCCTCTTACTCCACGTTGCTCGGATAGCCAACCGCGGTGGTGGCCCCAAACTCCTCCTTGATACTGCGCGTGCTCACAAACCGGTTCAGCAGAGTCGGGCTGCCTGCCTTGTCGTTGGTCCCGCTGGCCCGCGCACCACCAAACGGCTGCTGGCCCACCACGGCACCCGTGCTCTTGCAGTTGATGTAGAAGTTGCCCGCCGCGTTGCGCAGCCGTTCCTCAGCCACGCGCACCGCCGACCGGTCAGCCGCAAACACAGAGCCCGTCAGGCTGTACTCGGACGTCGCATCAATGGTGTCGCACATGTCGGCAAACGTCTGCGCGGAGCCATTCTTGTCATCGTAGACGTGCGCCACTAGGATGGGGCCAAACAGCTCGCGCGACATCAGCGGATGCGCCGGGTTGCTGGTCTCGTAGATGGTCGGCTGCACGAAGAAGCCCTGGCTGCCGTCGTAGCGACCGCCCGTCAAAAGTGTCAGCTCCTTGTCGGACTTGGCGGCGTCGATGACGCCCGACAGCTTGTCAAAGGAGGCCTGGTGGATAACGGGGCCGACGAAGTTGCGGTGTTCCCATGGCACACCCATCTGCAGCTTCTCCGTCTCGGCGACCATGCGCTCACGGAACTGCGGCCACAGCGACTTGGGCACATAGAGGCGCGACGTGGCGCTGCACTTTTGGCCCTGGAACTCGAACGCGCCACGCACCGTCTGCACGGCCGCGTTCTCGACGTCCGCCGAGGCGTGGACCAAGTGGAAGTTCTTGCCGCCGGTCTCGCCCACGACGCGTGGGTAGCCAATATAGCGGCCCTCGGCGGTGCCTTTACCGATCTGGCCCCACAGCTTGCGGAACACGGCCGTGCTGCCCGTGTAGTGCAGGGCTGCAAACTGGCGGTGCTCCAGGACAACTCGCGTGACCTCCTCAGGCGGCCCGGGAACGAACTGGATCACATTCTTGGGCAGGCCGGCTTCGAGGAAGATGTTGTACAGCAGCCAGTTGGAGGCAATGGCAAAGTCGGATGGCTTCCACACAACCACGTTGCCGAGCAGGGCGGGAGCACCCGACAGGTTGCCGGCAATGGCGGTGAAGTTGAAGGGGCTGACCGCATACACGAAGCCCTCCAGAGGGCGGTACTCGGAGCGGTTCCACACACCCGTAGAGTTGTGTTGGGGTTGCTGTGCATACAGCTGCTCGGCGTAGTGGACATTGAAGCGCAGGAAGTCGCAGAGCTCGGCGGCGGCATCGATTTCAGCCTGCCATGCGTTTTTGCCCTGGCCGAGCATCGTGGCGGCCATGATGTCATATCGGTACTTTGTGGAGATGAGGTCGGCCGCCTTGAGGAAGATGGCGGCGCGGTCGGCAAAGGGGACAGCCGCCCACTCGGCCTTGACAGTGAGGGCAGCCTCGATGGCCGCAGAGACGTCGGCAGGGCTGGCCTGGGAGTAGGTCGCGATGGTGGCCTTGTGGTCGGCGGGATTCTTCTGTTCTCCGATGGACTTGTTGCGGATCTGATGACACGGGAATTGATGTGAGCACAAGGTAAGTGCAATGAGGATATGTTCACGCCAGTCACAAACTCACCTCTTTGCCTCCGATCACCAACGGGACGTCGACCGGTCCGGCCGCCTTAAGCTTCTCAACGGCCGCCGTAAGGCCCGCTCTCTGCTCTGAGCCCTTGGCATAGAAGTGCTGTCTCTTGGTCAGTTTCTAAACCGCTTCGACAGTCTCGTAGGGGGGCAACAACGTACGTTTGGCTCGTTGCTGACACTAGGTGCCTTGAATGTGGCAATCGACGACATGCGCAGCTGTGGCCGCGATGAGAAAACTGACGTTTGTCTGGAGAGTGGCATGTGTTGAAAGTGCTGATTCTGCATCCGCCGCAGGCCCGGGCTGAGGAGCCTCGCGGTCGCAGCGCTGCTGAGTCGTCTTGAAGCCATTTTTGGTCTGGTGTGTGCACAATACAGAGAATGTGAGGAGGATACTCAAGGAAAACGTGACGGAGATGCGGGGAGGTACAAAGGGAAGGTACGCATGAGATATCTCTTTAACTTTCAAGGGAGCTAGCTATAAGTCCCAGAGGAATGAATGTGCGATACAGGAGATGAGAGGAAAGTAATTGAAATAGGAAAGAGCAAACGCAACCTTTTACGTTTCAACCAGCTCCGATGATCGCATCGCACCTTCTCTACATATCGCTTTGCTCCCTCACTTGCGCCTTGCCTTCCCGGATCCGATAGCATGTACCTGCCATGATAAGGAAAGTGCAAGCCTGTGTCGCCTGCAAGCGACGTGGTGATGTTTCGCTTTGTTTCGGCTCAAAGTCACCTAGCGGGGAATGGTCCGATACTTTGGGTCGTTTCGTGGCACTGTGGGCCAAAGAACAATCGGTTTTAGTGGGGTCAACTGGCCAATGCCACTGTGGCGGCTTTCTACGGCGCGACAATACGCACTCGGCATGAAATGTTTGCACACAGTCCATTGGCGCTGTTGCGCAATCACTCCTCTGCTGAAATGTGGTGATGGCATCCGAAATAAGTGATTGAATGATAATTCATTGGACTTTTCATTTTTATCTTCCCTAACGCCGCTAATAAAAGACTTCGAAAACAAAACCACCCCAAAGAAAAGAATGCGAAATGAAGAATGATCAAAGAAAAGGAAACAAGGAAGACGGATGCCACTGTATTCGTTAACCCGAAGGTGCCCCAAGAAAAAGATAAACCGTGAAGCGTAAACATAAAGCGAGTTTTAAGGTGGAAAAGTTTCGACTACAAAAGCCCATTTTCTTTTATGCCTCCATGGCGTCGACATCGGCGCTGTTGGCAGTTGTGTCATTGCTGTCGTCGCCCCACAGGCCGTCAAGCTTGAACTCTTTTGCCCAGGCGGTGACAATTGTCTTCTGGTCGCCGGACGCAGCAGACGCCGGCTTCGCTGCCGGCACAGTGCTGTCGGCCATGTCGGCATCAAGCTGCGACGCCGTAGGAGCCGCTGCCGTAGCCGCAGCCGCCACAGAGTGCTTCGGCGGGTCGACCCAGCCCTGGATACGGCCGTCGCGCCAGTCTGTGATGACCGTCATGGCAGCCGCGTGCAGGTTGGGCACGCCGCCCTTGCCCAGCCGGCCGCGCTTGCGCGCTACCTGGACCAGGAAGTCCGTTGTGACGTCACCAGTGTCGCGGCTTGCCATCAGTGGCGGCAGATCGTAGACGTCTGTCAGCTTCTTGAGTCGGGCATCGGGAGTGGGTGTTGACACCGAGGGAAGCGAGGTGGCCTCGGACAGGCGCTTGATTAGTAGCGTGACGGCCGGGATGGGGTCCTCGATCATCTTGGGCGGCACGGCATTCAAAAGGATCAGGTTGGCCTGGACGTCGGCGGCGTTCTTGGGAGCGTCGTTGGAGCTGATGGCCGAGCCAAAACCGGAGCCAGCCGTGGTTGACGACGAGGGGAAGACGATGCCGGGAGAGTCGAGCAGCATCAGGTGGTTGTCGATCTTGACGGTGCGGATGGCCGTGGTGACACCTGCCTCGGCGCCAGCGGGGCAGGCCATGCGCTGCGTGCGGTTGTTGCCGCTGAGACGGCTCAGCAGAGCATTGATGACGGACGACTTGCCGACGTTGGGGTAGCCAATGACACCGACCGAGATGGAGCGCTTGAGGTTACGGTTGGCGGCGAACGACTTGAGCGCACGGAACAGCGCGCTGCTCGTGCTCTGCACGGAAATGTCGCGGTGATTGAAGGTGTGCGCGTTGGGCGCAGGGCTGGAGGCGCGCAGCGGCAGTGTCGGGAACGAGCCACGCAGGTGCGTGAGCCAGGCGTGCAGCACGGGTGGGGGCACCAAGTCGACCTTATTGAGGATCAGGATGAGACGCTTGCCAGCCTCGCCGCCGGCTGCAGCCAGGACAGCACGCTCGACGTCGCGCGAACGCGTGCCCTCGGGGTCGCGCGCGTCCAGTACGTACAGCACGACGTCAGCCTGCTCAACAACGGACTTGAAGACCTTGTCGTAGGCCTTGCGGGAAGTGGCACCGCCGGGCACCTCAATGACGTGGCCATTGCTAAAGTCGTCCTCGTCCTCGTCGTCCTCGTCGCCAAAGTCTTCGCCGTCGTCCATGCTATCACCTTCCTCGTAGTCAGGGTCCTCTCGCCGCTTGTTTTTGTACTTGCGGGCGGCGGCGCGTGCGCTCGCGAGAAGGGCGGCCATAGGGTTCGACTCATCAACCGGCTCGTCGTCCTCAACATCCATGTCACCGTCATCCTCGTCGTCGTTCTCGTCGCCCTCGACATCGTCATCCACCATCTCGTCCTCGTTGTCGTCGGCCGTGTTGCCCGTCCGGGCAGCCTTGGCGAGCTCTCGTCTCCGCTTTGTCTCCTCAAGTTTCCGGAGACGGGTCTCCTCGATCTGGTGCAGAAGCTTCTCCTTGTAGGGGAATAGGTTGGGGATACCCGGGTCCTTTTTCAGCTTAGACCGCCATTCCGGGTTCTTCTTTGCGAGCTTTCTGTCTTTCTTTTGCTTGGCCGCGGCGGCCTTCTCGATCTTGTGCCGGAGGCGGACGGGCTGCCGCTTGCTCTTGGGCTCTGCAAAGGGTTGTTAGTAGATGGGATGGACGAGATGGCTTTGATGTAAGACTGGCAATTTTTGTATCACTTACTCTTGGGCTTGTTTATAGTACCGGCCATTTTGTCGCTATTTACACAGACCAGATAGCTTGTTGATTGAAATCGAGGTGTGCCGGGCCGTCGTATTCTCAACCGGCGTTGTCGTAGGTGCCAAACAGTCGTCGGTGAAATTTGACTTTTTCGGTGCAGTGTCGATGCTGCAGTCCTGTGCAGGGGAAAAATAAAAAACTTCACCGCTTTCCCCTCCAGCCCCACAATTTATGCGGCAAAATATTTTTTGGTCTCTTATCGATAAGAGACATTGGTTTACGGCAGCCACGAAAGCGCTGGGCCCCATCACTTTACCTTGAGATTTGCTATCGGCCATTCCAAAACGACAAAGGTGAACGTCTGAGCTTTGGTTTTTGCGATAAATTATAGATCGATTGGCAAAATTTTATTCAGTGAAGGTGTCAATGCTCTCATACGTATAACAGACGACGTACGAACATACTCTATCAGTTTATGGTCCTTTTGGCAGTGACCGGCCCAACTAGTAAGGCTTGCACGTGCGAAACTCTATGGCGCTTCTATTTCCTTCGCGTGGCACTAACCGCTCTCAGACACTCCGACATACTCTGGCCTCCTTCGCTTTCGCCCCGACTCCATACGACGGCGCCATGAATGAGAATTGTCGTTATGTAGTCTCAATTCTTTTGTCGATATTTCGGTTTGATCCTTCCTCTCTTTCGTTTCTTGTCCATATTGATTATTTCTAGATTATTTCTTTCCTTCTTTTCGCGTTATTCAATCTTTTAACTTTCCTTCATTTATCATCGTTCTCTACTGAACTTGATTGACCTAATAATACCTAATCCACAACCATCCTACAATCTACCCCACTATGACTGCAGACGAGACTCGCCCGGCGGATGCGCCGTCATTTACCGGTCCGGCGGTACAGGCCACGTTTGAGGGCTTCCTGTTCGACATGGACGGCACGATCATCGACTCGACGGCCGCAGTCGAGAAGCATTGGCACACGTACGTTCAGCCTACCTCGCCATTTTAGTGCTGCGTCTCCCGTCGAGATACTAACGCGCTACAGAGTCGGCAATGAGATTGGTGTTGCGCCCGAAGTCATCCTCCAGACGTCACACGGCCGCCGGAGTATTGACATTCTCAAGATCCTATCCCCAGAAAAGGCTAATTGGGAGTGTAAGTCCACGCGCCCCTCTTCCCCTCTTCCGGCCAGCCTGGTTTTGCCCCTAACAAGCGCTCCAGATGTCTGCAGTATGGAAGGTCGCCTTCCCGAGCTGTACGGCGACGACGCCGTCGAGATCCCCGGTGCACGCGCTCTTCTCGACAAGCTGCGGGCCCAAGGTGCCCCCTGGGCCATCGTCACATCGGGCACCGAGCCCCTCGTCAACGGCTGGCTCGGCAAACTTGACTTGCCAAAGCCCGAGCACTTGATCACGGCCGAGTCCGTGGCCAACGGCAAGCCCGACCCGACATGCTACCGGATGGGTTTGCAGGCACTCGGCCTGGCAAAGCAGGGCGAGGAGGGAACATACGACGTGCTAGTCCTTGAGGACAGCCCTGCCGGTATCCAGTCCGGCAAGGCAGCGGGTTGCAAGGTGCTTGGCCTCGTGACGAGCCACACGGCCGCGCAGGTGGCAAAGGCTGAGCCGGATTGGATTGTGGAGGACCTGCGGTCAGTGCGCGTTGTGTCGATCGAGGCACAGAGCAACGGCGGCGTGCGGACGACGCTGGAGTTCTCCAATACGCTCGTTGTGCCGAAGACGGCATGAAGGATGTCACGTTGCCTGGCTCGCGTATGAACATGCCATTTTCAAGCTCTGCAGGGCGCACTGGGATATTTTAAAGTTAGAGACGGAGTACAATAGAGTCAAATAGATGTTCTGTGGCTTAACATGCTGAAAAGTGATGGATATTGTAGTGTTTGTCATGTGCCGGGTTGTTTGCAACCTTGCTCTGTTCAATCCCTTTCCCCATGTTGTGAATAGGATGTATTCCGTAGCGATAAAGAAAAAGGTAAGCATAATAATGAAGACGTGTTTTCAATCCTGTCTTATTTCATACTTGTTTTATTCAGCTCTTTATATTCTTCTAGTCTCATTTTCAGTGACATCAGAACTTTTTTCTATTCTTAGCAGTTTTAGCTCACCTTCTTTCCTCTGGTATAGCAGTCGTGGCCATAAATTTACGGAGCTATTTGGCGCTTACGTAGCAAAATTGCGTCTACCTTTGCCAGGAGAAACAGTTTAGACCGCATATAATTGTATACAGTTAAGATTGAGAGATGCAAGATGGTGATAAAAAATGAAAGCGAGGGTTGTCGCAGTTCCTTAAAACAATATCTCATCCGTTGTCTCTTTATTCGGGTTTTCTAATTTAGCAATACCTGTGTTAATAAATGCAATTATCTACTTACTGATAAATTTTTTTAATTTATTAATAATATTTAATAAACCTTCATAAAACAATAACCGGCGTACATGTGAGAATCCCGGTCTTTCCGGTTACATTGTCTCTTTTCTTTCTCAGGTAAAACATCTTGGTGTGTCGTACAAATGGTAATTTATATTGTTCATGACTATTTATGTCCTGACTAAATTGCGCTACCGATGCCGAGACGGGAAACATTAGACGATACCGACACACTGCCATGTATGATGCCTCCCGATGTTATTATTGGATGCACAAATTTAACGAAGACTGTTTACATGATATCTTGCACATGCTGCACTGCCCAGGCTGTTTCTCGTCCGCGTTGTGATCGACACGGTGATTGTCGATCACGGCATTGGTGGATGCCAGTGAGGAATGTTGGAGAGGGTTGACCAGCACTGAGCCGTCAGAGGCGGAGCATCAAATAGCTAGAAACAAGGGCCTCCAAAAACAACAACAACAACAACATCAACAACAAACATTGCACCCTTGCACAGCACAATTGCTGTCTGTCATCTCGTCTCCGTGCACCTGTCCCGGCTCGAGTTAGTTCATGTGCTTGCATCGCGAGAGGATATTAGGCCACTGAAAGTGCTAATCTCTCCCTTGCTCTAAAATATGCCTTTTGTATTTGTCCACACTCTGACATTAGTCTTTCCACCGGGCTGGGCCTCTCAATCGTTGTTTGTTTCTTTTTCTCTAACCGTTGACTATGTTTGGAGACCCACTACCACTGTTCGCTGCTGGAGCATGCGTGGGCCAGAAAGAGGGTACGGCTAAATCTTGCACTGCAAGTATGACAGCCGCGAGGAATGAGACCTGCTAGAATAAAGTTGGACGGACAAACAAAAGGCTTATCCGAAAGTAAAAAACATAAAATAAAAATAGAAAACAGAACAAAACAGCCTCAAAAATACCCTCAAATATAACGGGAAAATACTTTAAAAAGGAAACATGGTCACCTAAACAGAGACTTATTGTGGGATGAAACCCTCCGCTGTCTATATACTTGCTTTTACATTCTCGTTTCTTCTCAGTGTTGGTCCAGCGTCCCTGCTGGTGCCAGAAACAACAATTCTGCCTCTCCAGGATGTAATGGGTATTGAGTTCGTTTGTTTTCATGCGGCGATCTTCGTTGTAGTTCCACAGTGGCGAAGGCCGATAAAATGCATATGGATGCTTGTCAACGTAATTTACGCACAGCAAGGTCTTCGTTCCAGTGAGGGTTGTTCGAAATTGCAAAAGAGAATGTTGTATATAACAAGACGGCAAGTCACCGTCTTTTCCCGCTCATTTCCCCTTTCCCTCTCATCCTCATCACCGCCTATCGACAACTTCGGCAAAGCCCCCGGCCCGCCATCGACTACTAACCTCCTTTTTCACAGTTCAACTATGGCCCCCACGATGAACCATCTGCTTTTCGTCGCCGCCTCGCTTGCGAGGTGCGTACTAATTTCCCTACCTCGTCTAACCAGTAAGATGCCCCCGTTAACTTGACAGCCTCGCGAGCGCAAAACCCATCGACCCGCCTGTCTGCCCAACCATCACGTCGACCGTGCCCGCACCCAGCTGCGGGCCCTCGTTCAATGGGAGCACCTGCATCATTCCCTACTGCATCAAGCTCGAAACGATCACGATTCCTTGCGGCTGCGAAAGCGGTGCCGCACCCACTGTGTACTCGACGGCATCCTGCGCATGCCCAAAGGGTTGCGCCACCGCCACAGAGACGCTCTACCCGCCGTGCCCATGGCCAACGGGTTGGCCAACGGGCGTGTGGCCCACAGGCGTGTGGCCGACGGCGTGGCCGACTGCTTGGCCTACGGCTGGGCCGGGTCACCACCCCGGTCATGGTCCTGGGGGTGGCCACGGTGAGGGACCCGGCCACGGACCCGGTCACAAACCAGACCAGGACCCTGATAACCAGCCTAGCCATGGCCGCTCTAAGCGCGGAAACGAGCCTCAGCACTGGTCCATGGAATAGACAACTATCTACAGAACAATGCGTGCCCTGCTAGCGCGAGAAAACGAAGAGCATTGGGGAGTGGGGGTGTAGAAGGAGGGGATCCCGGCAATATGACGATGCACAGAAGGCGGGAGAGATAATGTGCCATATTGTACATGCGGAGCCGTTCTGGTTTGCCGGGTAGTGGTAATTGTTGTGAGGCGAGAGGAAGGTGCCTTGTGTGTCGGACACCAGAGTATATGTATCATAGACACACACCTCTCCCATTGTCACTGTACATACGAATTTATGACGTATTGCTTTTTGTTGGCGTATACTCTTCGATTCGTTTTCCCTCTCAGTCGGTCGGCCTGCGCGGGTCATATACTTCGTAGCCTTCGTCATCAGTGTCGCTCTCAACATCAGCGTGTGTGCCCCGCTGAGCTTCGTCGAGTCCTGGTAGTGGCAAGGGCGGAGGATGCAGGGATCCAGAAATGGACGGTGTCGATGCCGCCTGAGCAGTTGATGTTGATGTCGCCGGCAACGAGATGACCGGAAGGTCCGACAACGGCGCTGTCATATCGTCACTTGTTTGTGGCTGCGAGCTCTCGTTGGAAACAGCTGAGAAGGCCGATTTAAAACCACCCTTGCGAAAGCCGCCCTTTTTGGCACCGGCACCGGACATACCAACGGCTGCGCTACCGGATGACGCATCCTGACCGCCGTCGTTGGTGCCTATCTTGATGCTGATGACAGCGTCCGTCGCCTTGGCTTCCAGACGGCGGGCGCGAGCTGCTACGGTCGGGTCACGCACCATCGCTTTCATGTCTTTGAGACGCTGCTTGTGCGCATGGTCGTACGACGATAGATGGGCCTCGTACTCGTTCATGCGTGTGTAGCCCTTTTGGCAGAGCTCACAGAAGAACGCACGGCGCGCCTCGCGTGCGGACGCGGTCTGTGCCGGCGGCAGGGCTTGAAATCTCTGCGCATGGTCAGTAAGACGCGTGTATGAGTGGCCAGATGACAAAGAGAAACGGACGTACAGGACGCATGTCGAAGGTGAAGATGGTTCAGATTGTTGTGGAATCGACTTGCATCGTCGAGGAGAAGGCTCGCACCTTCGACCAAGGTTGTTTGGTAGGAGTTGTGGAGCAGGTGCCAAGGCAAGGCTAACGCAGGGTATTTGTGGGGTGGCAAGCACCGGTATTAGGCGCTGAAAGGAGCTGCCGGACAATGAATTTTTCCAGTTTCAGCGCTTCAGCCTCGCCGCCCCTTGAACAAAGAGCACTATTAAAGGGGGCAAGTTGGCGATTTCTTCAAAGTCAACTCCCCAAACGTCTCTGAACGTTTTATACTACAACCTCACGACGATACCCAACGACGGTTAAAAAGAGCAAGCTTTGATTACCAACAAGATACATCTGGTGCCTTTTATCTACCGATTATCCTTGCCTGTCCATCTCAATGACACCTTGCAAACAACGACGTCGCTCCCGTTTCCTTTCCTACACCTATTTCCATTTCTGATCTTTTTAATGAATAATATATTCGCAAAAACGCTGCCAAAAACGCCCATTGCATCAAACCGTGGCATCCAATCGTCATGTCGTCACATCATCACGCCGCATGCCTCGTCACGGTGCAACTTCTTGGCCCAGCACTAGGTCAAAGGTCGCCGGCTTCGCCAAGTCGAATTGCCCGACCGGGGCCAGACCATCATAGCGATGTTCTGTCGCCTTCTGCTCGACGTATTCCAAAGATGCGTCGCGCACGGCCGTCCAGTCGAGATTTGATGACTTGCCCATGGCGCCGCCTGCGTCGGCTGCGAGCGCTTCGAGGGCGGACTGCACCCAGCCGACGCAGTTCCAGCCTGGCGGTTGGTTGAGCCTGTCCTTGTCCGTCAGAGCCGCAAGGGGGACGGGGACGCAGCGAAGAATGGTCTCGAGGCGGGATGGGTTCCGGACCTTGCCAATGAGCACGCGTGCTAGCAGCATGAGGTCGTAGGTGGGCATCGTCTGCTCGGCGTACGTCCAAGATGCCGACGACGACGACGTAGCCGACGACAACTCGGTGGGACTGCTGGCGCTGCTGTCACTGCCGCCGCTCTCACTGCCACCACTCTCACTGCTACCGGGGCTCTCGGTGGCATGGTACTTTGTGAGCAGCGTGTCCTCGTCCTCCACTTTGGGCCCACGTAACAGAGCCCAGTGATACCTGGTGGGTTGATTGTTGGCATTTGCACCGTGAACGAGAAAATCAGTTGCTCGTACGCTCGCGATGACTCACCTGTTTTCACCACCTGCCATTCTGAGAGCACCTCGCCGGACGTAGAGGCCCACGTAAAGGCGGTCTTTGTTGCGTCGCATCGTTGCACCCATGGCCGCTCACAATATTGATCGTTGTGATATTTGCATGTCGTTGGGTCAACAGGGGATGGCAGAAGTGATTCTGAAAAGTGAATGAGACGAAAAGTATGAGAGAAGAAATGAAATGAGAGAAGATGCTGGGGAACGCGGCAACTCAAATAAATGCCAGGGATACTATGCAATTATCTTGTGGTGTCCCGAGGGGTGTTCCGATATGGAGGAACGCGGGCGTCTCCCTGATAAACTTTAAGAGCACTGGAAAGGGCAAGCGCCTCCCTGGTAACAACCTCCAAACCCGCAAGATGCTGGCGCATGTCGTTACAGCGCGGTGCGCCCTGAAAAGGGAAGGCATGGGTCGGCGGGCATGTGTGGAGGGTCAAGACCGCCCCACTCATGCCAATTCAGCCAATGGCGCCGCGCCGCTTTGCTATTATGTGTTCTTGTCAGGGGACCACCTTCCGTCTTTCTTCGGCGGACCATGCCGTCATATCCCAACAAAAAATAGGGAAACACAAGCCCAAATAGGTGCACGCAGCCCTGGTGTCTCACTGCAATCTATCGTGATTCCTTTTGCTTCCCTCTTTCGCTTGCTGTCGTCCCTCGCGTGTCCACTCTCTCGTTCCCGGTTCCATTTCGCTCTTTGCTGCCACGCCCAACCGGCACGCGCGATGAGCAATACACGGCCACAGCTGGCCGGCAAAGCGTCGCAGGACACGCTGGCGTCGATGCTGGAGCTCGAGCCCATGCCAATGCCCGATTCACCGTTGCCAACACCGCCCGCTGCAGCCGACGTGGAGACCGACAAAGAGCTGCCGCCTCTACCAAGCGAGGGAAGTGACGATGCCGAGGCGGATGCGGGGGCGGGCGTTTTGTCCAGCGCGAAGCATGGCCACAGTCGTTCGGTGTCTGCGACCATTAAGGGCACGACTGCCGCCCTCGGCCTGAGCCACGGCCACGGTGCTGTCTACTACTGTACGTCTGTGACGTTGACGAGAGACGCCAAGAATAAATCTAGCTAACTGTCTCCCTAGTATCCCGTATCCAGCGCTACTCCTCCTATGCCTTCACTATCTTCTCGTCCGTCCACCTGGCCACCACCTCCCTCATCCCGCTCGCCACTCGGTCCGTCCCAGCCTCCGAGTCCTACCTTCTCCTCGCCCGCGAAATCTACCAGACCCGCCTCTCCGAGCCCCTGCTTGTCTTTCTGCCGATTGCCGCCCATGTCGCTGCTGGTGTCGGCTTGCGTCTCGTGCGCCGCAGCCAGAACGCGCGCCGCTACGGCCGTACCACCGCCAGCAATTGGCCGCCCTTCAGCGTCATCGCGGCGTCGGGGTATGGCTTTGCCGTCGCCGTCGGCGCCCATATCTTCTTGAATCGCCTGCTGCCCGTTGCCGTCCAGGGTGACAGCTCGGACATTGGCCTCGCCTATGTTGCCCACGGCTTTGCGCGCCAACCCGTCGTGTCCTGGCTATCGTACGGTGCCTTCTTGGCCGCGGCGTCGGGCCACATGGTATGGGGCTGGGCGCGGTGGTTGGGCGTCGCACAGCGGGCCGCGTGGTCGAGCCTGGATCTTTTGCGGGGTGGAGACCGGGACGTGTCGGCCGGTGGTGGGGCGCGCGAGCCCAAGGCACTCCAAAAGCGGCGGCGCCGCACGTGGCTGGCCGTGCAGGGCGGCGTGCTTCTAGCATTCTGCCTCTGGGCATCGGGTGGCCTGGGCGTCGTTGCGCGCGGCGGGCCTGTACAGGGCTGGGTAGCAAAGGTATACGACGAGCTCTACGCCAAGACACTTGTATTATGAGTGGCCGTTGGTCGCTGCTTTATTCATATTTGATTCCTACTGTTTGTCCGATTTGGCATATTTGGCGCGGTGTCCGGTTTCTCATAGGAGCTACGGCGTGGGGTCTCGATTCCGAGCCGGAGCATATTTACTTCACACGGGGAGCATATCATGGGGAGTGGGTTGAGCGGTTTGGGTGGACACAACGGCGCGTCATTTTGTGATCCGTTTAAATTTAGAGCGACCCCCGAGGCTTGTCTATCTCATGACTAGGTTGCGTTATAACATTTCTAGAAAAATCAAAATTCTATAAATCATAGTCGTTTCGCTCTTTGGTTGTCTACGCCAGCGATGCAGCGTCGCCAGCCTTGAGCTTGCCAGCGCCCACCAGGCGGCTGACCTCGCTGCTCCACACGCTCTTGATCTCGTCCGAGACGGTCAGGCCGTTGAGGCGCGATGCCAGGTCGCCAATCTCCGTGGGGTCCAGCTGGCCTTGCACAAGCTCGACGTCGCCCAGCACCTTGTCGATGGTGGCCGCATCGGCTGCGCTGCCGGCCGCCGCAAAGTAGTTGGCGTCCTTGACGGAGCCCTTGAGCACACGCTTGTTCTTCTTGACAGCGTTCTTGGCCGCCTCCTTGGCCTTCTTCGCCGACTCGCGGTCGGCCTTGGCAGCTTCCTCGGCAGCCTTGGCGGCCTTCTCGGCCTCTTCCTTGGCACGGGCCGCCTCGTCCTTGGCGGCCTTCTCGGCGGCCTCCTTGTCCAGGCGCTTCTTGTTCTTGGCGGCGTTGGCTTCCTTGCGGAAACGCTTAATGCGCTCGTCGCCTGCGGACGCGTCGTCGAGCAGCTTGCGGAGGCGGGCGTTGTCCTCGGCCTTCTTCTTCTTGCGTGCGTTCATGTTCTTGCGCTCCATGTGACGCTTCTGGTCACGGTTCTCGTTGTCGTCGGGCACGTCCTCGTCGAGGTACTCGAACGAGCGCCAGCTGTCAAAGTTGTAGAAGAAGTTGTAGAACGACTCCACAGCCTCCTTGGTGGAGGCCTCGGTACCAAACGAGGGCACGGGCTGGACACGCGAGAAGCGGCCCTCCGACTTGAAAACACGGCTCCACAGCTTGTAGTAGTCGCCCGAGGCGAGCTGCTTCTTAGTCGGCGGCTCCACGTCGGCCTCCTCGTCAACGGAGTCGAACTGGCGGCGGCGGATGGGGTCGAGCAGCACCTCGGTGGCCTTCTGGATGCACTTGAAGAACTGGTCGTCCTCGGTGCCACCAGCGGCGGCCTTCTTGTCGGGGTGGTGCTTGAGCACCTTGCGGCGGTGCGCCTTCTTGATCTGCTCCTCAGTGGCCTTCCAGCGGTAGCGGGACAGGCCGAGAATGGCGTAGTGGTCTTGGGTCTGGGCGTTCGGGTTAGTATTTAAGAGGCCGATGGTTTCATGTCCTTGCTTGTGTTTCTTCTTCTTACCTTCCAGTCCTTGGCCTCGCGCAAGAGCAGCGAGGGGTCCTCGGGCTCGCTGATGTCACCGTCGTCATCGTCGGCGTCGACCTTCTTAGCACGAGCCTCCGCCTCTATGCGGTCATCCTCGGAGAAGGTGCGGTTGTGGCGCACACGGCGGGCGTGAGCAAGGTACTGCGGGCCAACAGGCTCGAGGCTGCGGTGGGTGCCGGCAGACAGCGACTTGATGCGCTTGATGTCGCCCTCGGCCGACCAGCCGGCGGGCAGGCTGGGAATGTACCGGTCGGCAATGAGAGTCGTAGCGGCAGCCATTGTGAGACGATGGGTGCGTGGACGAAAAGGGAAAGGGAGGTGGCTGTTGAGATGGGAAGGTGGTGGGGAGGAGGGGAGAGAGAGGCAGGAGCATCCAGCGAGAAAAATACTTGATAGTAAAGTTCGCTACCTCTTTTCTTTTTTTTTCTTGAGACCAAGGGGACGCCCCACTACCGAAGCCCGCCTTACAGGCTCAACCAATAATATTGCTTACCTTGCTTCATGTTTGGTGAAAGACCCACTTTTTGAAGTTCTCCGAAGCACCCACCAGAAGACAGCGTCTGGACCTCATTCTCACTCTTATGAGTTCATCCTCGTCACAACAACCTCCCACGAACACAAGTGTCGCGCAGCATCTTGGACTGTGTATGCTCTAAAGTTATGGCGGCACTTCAAGCATACCGAAATCTGTTCCGGGCCACAAGAATTGCCTTTGAAGGTGAGTCGAACCCATCGATCGAGTTGTGATGTCGGAGGAGATGAGCATGTGCGCTGACACATATAGGCGACTCGAGAGTCTTGTCCGCAGCACGCGAACAGATCCGGGTCAACTTCCGCGAGAAGGCTGGTCTTCCGGACTCCGAGGCCCAGCCGGCCATCCAGCACGCCGAGGAGGTGGCGTCGTTTCTGAGGGCAAACGTTGTCCAGGGCAAGAGAGAAGAGGAGGGTGTCTACAGTAAGATGAATGCTACTGTCGCCTCTCGAGAAATGACTATGTGGTGCAATACATGAATTTTGATCACTAACAATTGCAGGATTGAGAATACACGATGAGACGGAGCGCGGCGACAACGACACAATCAAAATTGGTGGCGGCAAGACAGTCAAGATTGACGGCAAAACATGTGCCGACAAGTAATACACTCTAAATGAAGAAGATGATGAGCTGGATATGACTAGAAATGAGCCACTGAGTCAAAACGTTGTCTTTTGAACTGGGATATTGGCGATGGATTAGTTTGTTTCTTTCTTGTACGATATAAGGGCATGGCATTTGAATTAGAACGATATGCAGCAAAAGAAGTTTCCTTTGAATATAACGCCACTAAATTTATAGCTTTTTGCAATTCACAAATCTTTGAATACGGAGTCCATGCGTTGCATAGGAGAACGAGAGATGCCTCCGCGCAGAGCATTACCTGCGCCGCACTTAATATCAGTACTATACACGCATTAAATGGCCACCCCAGATGCACATAGTGAACCTCTTTGATGATACAAGTCTCTCAATATTTTTTTGTAATTTATAAAGGCAAATGCATTGAACCCTTTCCCTCACCATTTCTCCACACGTGATGCTAATATAGATATCACGTGCGAAGCTTACCCCTTGACGGCCCACTTTTATGCGTTGGATTGACGTCTGTCCAACATTGCTCCTGGTCTAGCATCGCGTGTCCAGACAGCTCTCGCGGGAGGAACCTAACGACTCTTTTATGCGCCGCGACGTCCCCCCTCCTCATGGCTGTCCCCTCCACTCACGAAGCTGCTTTAGCAGACGGAGATGGAGACTTTGTGCGCGACTCATACCTCGCCTACGTCGTACCGCTGGCCACCGACAGCCGACTCGAGCAGGACCTCGAGCTATGCGCCAGCAAAGGCGAGTCGCTGCAGGCCTTGATCGAGGGGATCGAGGACCGAGAGTCGCTTTTCTTTGGTATGAAGCCGCCCTTTTAAATTGTCTTCATCTAAATCGTATCAATACTCATACGCACAGATGAAACCGTCGATGTCTACTTAATATTGCGAACACCATACCAAAGCGACCCGCATCTACGGAACTACCTCGAGCGCCTTGCAATCGTCCTCGAAGCACAGATCCTCAACAGCCACGTCTCTGGGCGCGATGCAACACCACCGGTCGTTGAGACCATCTTTAACGGCGCTGTGGAAAACATCGACGAGCCGCTTGCTATTGTTAGCGAACCGGGCGTTGCGTCCGGCCGAAAGACCACCGACGCAAAAGGGGGCAGCGACGAGGAGAGCAGCGAGAGCGGCGAGAGCGGCGACGACGATGATACCCAGCTGCAGAAGACGGGAGAAACGGCAGAGGATGAAGGTGTGACGCGGCAGACGTACTGCGTGTGGAAACTGCCCGTGTTTCTAGCACGACCGCGTACAAGGCTCCACGGGCCATCCGTCTCGTTTTCAGCTGTCGCAAGCTTGAAGCCGGTGTCGGCGGTGGCCGCCAAGGCAAGCGCGGAGGGCAATGGGTCGCTTGCTCCGTATGGCGATGCAAACGGCTTGCTGGGCGGCTTGACGCCGTCTGGGCGCATGGCTGGCTACTTGCAAAGCCGCGAGCCCAGCGGGCTGAACCTGCTCGAGTCGTTTGGCGGTGACCCAGCATTGGCTGGCGCATGGCCCCGGCTCTCGGCACAGCGCGTATCCCGTGTCGCGCCGGCTGCTGCGGCCATGAACCCGCGCTTCCATCCACGGCCACTGCGCGGCATCAAGTCCATCGCTTTCAACATCTTCCCTGCCGTGCACACGCGTGTGCGGTTCGCGCGCCCCAATGCGGCGCCTTCGAGTCCGGCCGTCGTCGCGATGCTGGAGATTGATTTCACGCCATTTTTTGACTGCGAGGCCGTCCTGTCCAGTATTAATATATCGCTCCCGTCGGGCGAGATCACCGACCTTAATACGGCCGACGGCCTAGCCCTGCCACTCTACTGCGTGGCACGCGACCACTTCACCTTCTTGTACCGTCTTGCGCCGCTAGAATTCGACATCAGTCGGCCACCGTCCCAACACAACCACCAAGGGCGATTGCCTGGCGCCCATGGCGGAAGCTTCAGTGGTACTGGCAACGGCTTTAACGGCAACGGCAATGGCAACGGCAACGGCGGTGCCAGCGCCGCGGCGCGCGACCTCGACATTTCCATCGAGGCCAAGGTGCTTGTCAAACCGGGCGTCTGCACGCCCACGCTCAAAATGACGTGGGTCACAAGCCTCGACTTTACCCTCCCGGTCAACCCCGGCTTTGGCACCGCCCTCATGCCCCCGCCATCCATCCAGCGCGCCCACCGCCCTTCCCAGCTGTCCATTGACGGCATGTCCTCATTTACTGCGCCGTCGGTCAGCCGTCCCGATGCGCTCCCCTCACTCGAGGCGGCCGCCACCCACAACACCGCAACGACCATTCCCGACTTTGGTATCACCATGACCTTTACCGCACCCTCGCACAAGGTGTACGCCGGCGAAGAGTTTAGCTGGACCGTATTTGTTGTGAACCGTGCCTCGCAGATGCCTCTGACGCCAACGCTGCCCACGAGTGCAACACTCGGCGGCGGTGTCGTGCCCCCTCCGCCCCCGGCGCCCCGCAAGCTGGCTCTGATTGCTCTGCCCAAACGCCGCCGCAACGATGTTCGTGTCATCCGGCCACCCTCTACGGCCGGCGGTCGCCCCCACCCGCGAGTGGGGCCCAATGGTGCCTTGGATGACACGGGTACGGTTGTCGAGGCTGTGGCCGACGCCGTACTCGACGAAAACATTGTGCACGCCATGCAACGCAGCTCGCTGGTAGACAGTACCGACGTGGTGTGCCTGAGCAGCGCCGACACGCGCGTGGGCCCGCTGGCGCCGAATGCGTGCTACTCCGTAGACCTGCGGTTCGTGGCGCTCCGGGCGGGTGCGGTAGGCATCGAGGCGATCCGCGTTGTTGACCTGGGCTCACAGGAGCACGTTGACGTGCGGGAACTGCCGGTAATGATCATTGCGGAAGGGAAGCGGGGTGATGATGAGACGAATTGAAACGGCTGCGTTGGAGTGATAATGTGTAAAACGTAATACCAATCCTTTTCTTGTACATTCACTGGAAAAACAGCAACAATCATATTTGCAACACCTGTGTGTGATATCTTGTCATGATGTAAATGATGTTTAAAACGCAGAGCCACCCTATGAACGCCGTTGTATGCAAAATGCACATTGTAGGTCATGAACTTCCACTGCTGAATCCGAATCCTAATCCTGTTCCTTTCCAATCCCTGCCAGTTTCCGTCGTGAATATATACGTTACGTCCATATATGCCTCTATCATGTCTGTTTCTGTTTCTTGTCTTGATTCATTTTCGCTCGTCGTTCCTGTTGACACGCCCTCTACGCCAGATCGTCAATTTCGTCTTCCCAGCCCATTTGAGCATAGAGGGACTGCACGCTGTTGCCATCTCCGACAAAAGTAGTAGGGGCAGCCAGCGAGCGGCCATGATGTGGTGTCGCCATAAGCGGTGTTGCCAGCAGAGGTGTCGCCATGACCCGCTTCATAGCGGCAGAGTCTTCCATTGTGACTAACCGCACTTTCGTTGGTGTCTCAAACAAGGTGGATCGTCGCTGGGTGCCCGTCGACAGAAGAGTCTCTCGGTTTTCTGTTTCAGCCATCATTGTCTTTGCTGGTTGCGAACGAGCCTGCAGCGGAGACGATGCTGGGATCATGTCGCCATCAAAAAGAGCAGCTTTGTTTTCGCCTAGCTTCCGGAATGCAGGGAGGCCAGCTCCAGTGCCACTACGTACAACTTGGCTTGCCACCCGACGCGCTGCCACAGGTGATGATATTGGCATGGAGTCCTCTTCCTTTGGGAAAGACTCTAGCCGTGATGTGCGCGCCATGGAGAATTTGCTCATGGTAGCAGTTGTTGTGCTGGTTGTAGTCGTCGTCGTGATAGACGCGGTGTCGAACGGTGCCGACGTTGTGGGAGCCGCCCTAGCCGCCGAGTCCGGTACAGATGTAGATGTTCGCATAGGCATTGCTTGAACCCGGCCAGCCATAGGGGTGCCCATGACTCGAGGCGACACAGGAAGAAAGCCGACTTGGGGCACGCTACGACCAGGGAACAGGAGTTCGCGATCGCTTGGCAGGGGATACTCCAGTTGCCTCTGACTGTAGCTGCCGTGCATCTCAACATGGCCGCGCTCGTTACCGTGAAACTCCATAGTCGTCGTCGTGGCGAAGACATCGCGGAATCTGTTGTTCACCGGTGTGGCCTTGACTTGCACCCCGCCAGGTGATGGTCGGCTTATCTGCTTTTTGGATTCTATAATGGCGAAAATTGTTAGAAATGGTCAGACAACGGTCATCATATGAACCAAAGGACGGTGTCTTACTTCGTGCTTGGTTTTGTATACCAAACAGCCGCTTTTCTGCTGCTTCAACTGTTGCCTTGCCAGCGAGCTCGCGATTTGGCTTCTTAAGGGCAGAAATCGCTTCTTGCAACTCGGCGTCAACCATAGCCTTCTTGCGAGCACGCGTCTCTTCGGGCCGGCCTACTCTGGCACTAACGACGTCTGACGAAGTCCTAGACAACGCGTTTGACGGACGTTCTTTGAGTGAGGTGGACGATGATCGGCGGGGGATGCTGGCCAACGCGGGCTCGCTCATCTCGCGTTTCAGGCCAGGAATCGGAGCGGCCGTGGCGCTACGCATCTGGGCAATGGCATCATTGGGTCCGCGTGAAACACTGCGCCGCAGCCGTTCGCTCGACAGGACACGTTCTAAGCTACGGGTCTTGTCGGTTGAGGCTGACGATCGTCGGGCCGCAGAACCTGGTTTCGACCGCTGATGGGATTTGGAGGACGAGGATTTCTCACGCGACTTCGCGTCTGATGGGGACTTGGCCGAATTGGGTGCCATCTTGGATCGAGAGCCTGGCGCCGAAATGACCGGTCCACCCAGTTTGCGGTTCAAGGTATCGCACACCAGAGGCAACCGAGGGGAGAAGAAGGGCAAAATAATATCCACACAAAAGTCTTTTAACGGGTCGGAATGCGCCGTCTTTGTCGTAGCCGCTTCTCTAACTGGGCGTGCTTGGGACTCGGCCAATGCTATCACCTCATCCGAAGTTGTTGATTGCCAAATGCAAAGCCGGTCGGCATGGACATCAATCAATAGGGGCAAGTTGTGTTTGTTTCGTTTCTTTGGCGCTTCTTTCTTGATCGGGGCGACTGCTGGCATCTCTCCAACCATGCCAGGGAGCTGGCTCTCGCCTGCGTCACCTGTCGGCCGCATCGTTTCTAGTGCCATAATCTCCAAGATGAGGATCATCTGCAGCTGCGTCTCGCGCGTGCGCAAGCATGAGATTGTGTACTTGACCTCCTCGGGTCGGGGGAAAACCTCATCGTCGCGAGGTGCTGGCTTGTTGGCAGCCCACCACTTGCGCACATGCACGTCCTCGCCTGTATAGAGGCCGCTGCTTCCAAGCTTCACCTTCTTCGGCTTCTTCGATTTTCTCTTGGAGTCCCCATGGTCAGATAGTTCCTCGAGGGTACGCAAATGGGAAACGAGATCTGGGATCGTCTCGCGATATTTCTTGTCGATCATCGCAGAGGTCAAGATGATGCTCTTCAAGAAGTCGATGAGCTCATCCATCTCGAGATTGGAGTCACAATCCAAGTGGAAAGCTGCACGCGCACGAGACAGGGGGCCTTTTGCAAAGTACGCCAAGGAGCCCTATTGAAAAGTTAGTTGCAAGTTCAAAGATAATAAAGCAGATTGGCGGACCAGAGACATACCAGGGAGTGGTACAGAGCTTCAAAGTACTGATTGCGGATGTTTTGGAATATATCCTCCGCCGTAGGCGGGACATTAAGTTCCGCGCCTACGGTTGGTGTTGGCTCCGCCGATGAGCGCTTAGTTGTATCAGAGGCGGGCGGTGTTGGCAGAGGCGCTGTCTTCAAAGGAGCAGACTTTTTCTGGAGAAGAGCTTGGCTCGGTGGGCGTGCAGGCAGGTCATCGTGAGCCTCCTTATTTTCTCTCGGTATCTCCGGGATCGGCTTAGGTTCCTCGGCAGTCTCTAACAACGGCAGGGGCAACTCTTCATCTTGACTTGCAGGGACAGCCGCGTCTGCCACAACTTGAGAGGCCGGCCGCCGCCTCACAATCGATTGCAGCTCGGCAATGGCCAGTCTCTTCCTACCTCGCTCCTTGTACACTTGAGGTGTGATTGATGCAGGTTCTTCGGCCTTCCCTACTCCCAAGGCTTTTGCTGGAGAAGGCATCCGCTGCTGGCACACGGCAGTAGCGTGTTGGCCGAGCTGGGTAACGTCCACCCAGTTGCCCAGTTTGCAAAGGACATAAATACCAGCCTCCTCCCGTTCAATGGCAAATATGCTGCTGGCGCTGCTGAAACCGCCCGAGGAGCTGGAGTTGCTCGATGGTGAACGAGCAATAAGAATGTTCGACCCAAGCCGGCCTTCCAGATCCAAGATACGGATGTCAGACTGGAAGTGTCGAGAAGACGGCAAGTTACCGCTCGGGGACGTGAGATCAAGATACGATAGAGGCAGATGCTCGCGGGGTAGAAGCATCATGGGGAACAACGTGCATGGCCGCGATAAGGGATTGGACGGATGGGCCTATCTATTGTCAGCATACATATGAGAGAAAGGCGGTCAAAGTGATGTGGTATACGCACTCGGACAACGATCGACGGCTTTAGAAGCTCATCCGCAGACAGGACACCAGCATCCTGCCGCCGTCTCTTGGCATCCCGCGGCACGCCATGCTCACTCGGTCTCTTGCGAGAGGCAGACGCCGGCGAGGCGCCGTGAACAGTACCGCTCGAGGACAATGGGCGCTCTATCCGCTGTGAAGATGGCCGTTGCGAGTTCAATGTTGTTGGACGCGGAACGGCGTGAGAGCTCGACCGGCCGTGTTGTGAGGACAGTGGGGGCGGCGGCAGCAGGTCAAGAACCTGCTCTTAGTTGTGCATGGTGTTGGTTGCGGCAAGAGGCAAACAGAACGTCGATTGCGAGAATGTAAATGGGCATATAAAGAATCAGCAAAAAGAATATTCATACAGTAAATAGCAGATACTGAGTACAACTGTAGAACGTTGCTGGTGCAAATGTCTTCAGCCAGGCCGCTTTCCTATCGCGGATGGGCCAGCTAACTCGTTCCTTCCCGCAAGACGCGGTCGGCGCGTGTTCGGGGAAGATACAGTGCGAGCTGGAGGTGGTTTTGGCGCGTCTCACTTGGCTTAGCTCCACAGCTCTAGTTGCATTGGGCGGGTCTTCACGTGACTAACTCGGAGAGGCACGTTAATTGGGGCAGCTATGGCTAGTCAATCGACTCGCCTAAAGCTCGATCCGGAGCAGGTGCGCCGTAACTCCCCAATTGCCACCAAAATCGACAGAATCCGCGTCCTCACTGACCGACAGGCCATGCTCTCAGCAGCTAATATAGCTAATATATGTGGGGTAGCACTGCATAATGGCCAACCGCAAGACACCACCACTGGCTCCTTCCCCGTTTGCGAGCACCTCTGCACCCGTCGCTCCTTCTCTGATGGCTAGGGCTTCTTTCACCATTTTGCCACCCCATCCATCGCCAACTATCGCCAACCATCACCAACATACTCTTGAGCTTCAACGGCCTTTGCAGAAACTCGTCGTCGACGCGAGCCCTATTCGCGGCTCACTTGCGATTGCCGGCTTTGAATTTGACTCCTCACCCCGTCTATCATTGAGCTCCGCGCAGCGCTCGTCTTCTGCGTGGAACGGCTGCTCGATCTTTCCAGTGAGGAAACCGAGGAACATCCTTCCCTTTGTTTATTGACTGCCGCAATGGACGCTTTTGGCCCGGCTTAATACGTCACTGCACCCACCAGCCTCTACTGGAGAGCGTGATTCACTCTCATCGATTTCGTTTTAACACAGGACGCCACCAATCTCGTGGCTTTCGAGCCCCCTCCCTACTCTATCGATTGAGCCTGCGCTCTAGCAGGCCGTCACCTCTCTCATTCTCTCTTCCCACCCACTATGGCGTCCGAGGCCTCACCGCGCGTTAGATTCGCGTACACCGATGACGACCGTGGACGCCTCGAGAAACCCAAGGGCTACCGGCATCAACAGCAACCGTTCCCGTCAGACTCCTCTCTCTCCCCCGACTCTCCCCTCTCCGCAACGACGTCGCCCGCATCGTCCTCTTCCTTTGGGATCGCCGGTGGCCTGTCTAGAAGCCACCGTGGCTCGGGTACGATGGGCGTCACTGCCGGCATCGCATCCGTCATGAATGGCAACGCATCGAATATTTCCACTGGCGCCAGTAACGGAAGTGGGATTGGCTTGGGCAATGGCAATGGTACGAGCGGAGGTGTGTCTGATGGCTACATTGCCAACGCCTCTAGTGGCGGGAGTGCGTGGCCGCAACGGCCATCTGGACCAAACCGGACACTATCAAACGCATACCAGCCGCAGAGGCGACCCGGAGTGCAGCCCGCCTTTTCCGGCATTAACGGTTCGGAGACACGAGTACCGAATGCCAAGCCAAGGCAGCTCACCAGCGGGTCGACCTTCCGGGCCCAAGAACGCGAGTATGTGAAACGCTTACGCGAGCAAGACTACGCAGCTGGCTACTTTGACAACGTGAACAGCACCGATGGAGGATATGCCGACTCCGATTCCGAAGGCGAGACACCCTCATCAGAAGGTCCCTTTGATGACCGCTACGACCAAGAAGCGATCATGTTCTACAATTTCGATGACCTGCATCCTACCGAAGAAGACATTCGCGACGCCTCCAACCGCGAACGGCTCGAGTGGCACGGTATGCTCGAGGCGGTCCTAACGGGCGACGTCGTCCGGCAGGAGAAGAAGCGCCTAATTGGAGCAGGTGAAGAGCAAAGCGGCAAGACAGTGCAAAAGAGCGAGCTCTGGGTTGGCATTCGCGCCAAAACGTGCGGCCGGCAAATCACCGTCCAGCGCCGCATGATCGAGGAGTCGCGGAGCAAAGTGGATCGCATGATTGACGACATTATCAATTTCCGCGTCGAGGGTTTCAGCGAGGCAGGGAAGACGGCCATGGAGCAGGTGGTCGATGTCATCAACAAGATTGAAAAGGCCGAATCGTTGTACCCCACACGCGCGGCCTTCCTTGCCGCCCACAAGGCGGCCGCCACCGCACTGTACGAGGATTCTTGCGACACCATTGTCGCATGGAGCAACACAAGCGACACGATCAACCGGGAACTCGCGATTTTGCGCAAGTGGGTTGGGAACGACGAACTCGATTTTACACGCTCGCGGGAGAAGTCGCCGAGCGGCAATGGGCTGACCGACGAGTCCTCGTTCCTGGACAGACTGCTCAAGGAGGAGGGCCTGCGGTCGCTGCATGTGCATTTTGAGGAGGATGGGAAGAGCCGCCGCCGCAGTATGCTGGAAGGCATCTCCGAAACGATTCTCAAAGCCAAGGACACGCTCACGATGCGTTCCGCCGAGTTCCGTACGCGCCATCTTCCGTCACATGTTGAGGACCTTCTGACGCTCGTCAGTTTCCCGGCGCGCCTGATTGAAGAGATTGTCAAAGTCCGGCTTGCCTACGCCAAGAAGATGAAAGAGTCGGCCCAGCAAAACTCCCTGATGCAAGACCAGATGATTTCGCAGTTCCAGGTGCTCCTCAATCTCGCCATTAAGGTCAAGCTCGAATACGTTGCCATCTCACAGCCGGAACTTGGCTGGGAGCTGCCCAACTGGATTGACGAGTCCTTTGACCAGGCCATCCTGGACGCTCTCAAATACTACTTCAAGATGCTCAACTGGAAGCTCACCAGCAACCGCAACACTTTCAAAGAGGCCGAGTTGCTCTTCCAGGAGTGGGAGTTTGCCAACGAGATTGGCAGCCACCTGTACCACGGCGATGTCGAGGTGGCCGAACAGTTCAGCTCGCTGACGTTCAAGGCGTTCAACCGACTCAGTCAGACCTTTGACAAGGAGCTGCAGCGCAGGCCCAAAGAAAGCATCTCCGACATGAGCAAGCGATACAAACAGGTGTTGGACTCCGTGCGCGTGCGGCAGCGCATGCTGCAGCGTTTCTCACGCCGGCTGAGCGACAACTACGAAAACGCGTGCGATTTCAGCATTGCCATGACCGAGGAAAACATGGAGTTGTTCTTTGACCGTCTTGTGGATTCGGGCCACTTTCAGGTGTATACACACAGCCTCGAGCGGGAGGGTGTGATTCTCGTGGCGTCGCCATCGCTGCAGAACCGACACGAGGAGATTCAGTCACTGATGGGCCGCACCTCTTATGAGCAGGTGGTTGAAGACCCCACGGACCCGTACGTTCTGGTCATCCGCCCCGAAGGGAACCCGACGTGGTATGGCCAGCGTGTGGCGCTCACAGTGCGCGAAGAGCCACTCGACTTGAAGACAGGCCATCTGCGCCTAATTGCGGGCGGTTCGCAGGGCCGCCTTGTGCTAGCTCGCAAGGCCTTCCTAGAGAACGCAGATGTGCACCTTGACCTAGTCGTTGAGCAGCGGTCCAATCTCAAAAAGGTCAACGCCAAGATGACGGAGATCCGCCGCATGGCGTACAAGCTGTCGAACACCTTCATGGACAGTGTGGAGAAGATCCAGCACCAGACACGGGGCGACAACTGCCAGGACCTGATCCAAATGTGCTTTGTGTTTGCGACCGAGTTCGGCCAACGCTCTATGCTCTACATGGACAGCAACCGGCGGCAGATGCACAACATCAAGCTCACCAAACTTGCGCTTGATTGGGTGAACTTCATCTGCGAAGACTGCGTGACGTCTGACCGGCGTACGTTCCGCTGGGCCGTGCTAGCTCTCGAGTTTGCCATGGGCATGACGCGCGGCCGGCACATCCTGGGCCTGACAGAGGCCGAGTACGAGCAGCTGCGCGACCGCGTGTCCGGGTGCATGTCTCTGCTTATCTCGCACTTTGACATTATGGGTGCACGGTCGAGTGTAGCGGCACAGGCGGAGCGACAGCGCCTCGAGGCGTCCGCCAACTCCAAGCGGCCCGACAAGAACCGGTTCCTCAGCGATGCGGAGGCGTCGGCATACGTCGAAGAGCACCGCATGGAGGAACTGAACCAGATCGACGAGGTCCGCAAGTCGATTCTCGAGCAGCGGTCGTCACTCGGCCGCGTGCTCGAGGCGTCCAACGAAGTGGACCGGTCGTTGGCGTACCTGTCGTCCACGGCGACCAACTTTACGATGCGCTGGCAGCAGGGCTACTTTGTGGGTGGCGGCACGTTTGGCAACGTCTACGCGGCCATGAACCTGGACAATGGCCAGCTAATGGCTGTCAAGGAGATCCGCCTGCAAGACCCCAAGCTCATCCCGACGATTGCCACGCAGATCAAAGACGAGATGCGGGTACTCGAGTCGCTCGACCACCCCAACGTTGTGTCGTACTATGGCATTGAGGTGCACCGCGACCGCGTGTACATTTTTATGGAGTTCTGTTCTGGCGGGTCGCTGGCGAGCCTGTTGGAGCACGGCCGCATCGAAGACGAGCAGGTCGTCCAGGTGTACGCGCTGCAGCTGCTCGAGGGCCTCGCCTACCTGCATGAGATTAAGATTGCTCACCGCGATATCAAGCCCGAAAGTGAGTGTCCCCCAGCCAGCAGCCACGCCCCATCTGGTTTATTGTTTTTACATGCTAACAAGCTCAGACATCCTCCTCGACCACAATGGTATCATCAAGTACGTCGATTTTGGTGCGGCCAAGGTGATTGCGCGGCACGGCCGCACGATGAACAACCTCGACCCAACGATGGCTATGGGCGCCATGTCGAAGCCGGCCAACCGGTCGATGACCGGCACACCAATGTACATGTCCCCTGAAGTCATCAAAGGCGAGACACCGGACCACTTTGGCGCTATCGATGTCTGGTCGCTCGGGTGCGTGATCCTCGAAATGGCCACGGGCCGCCGGCCCTGGGGCAACCTCGACAATGAGTGGGCTATCATGTACAACATTGCCCAGGGCAACCCACCGCAGCTGCCGACAACGGACCAGCTGAGCCCAGAGGGCATTGATTTCCTCAAGTGCTGCTTCCGGCGCGACTCGGGCAAGCGATCGACGGCCGTTGACCTGCTGCAGCACGAGTGGATCATGGGCATCCGCAACCGCGTGGTGGAGCCGTCGACGCCGAGCGACATTAGCAACGTTAGCAACTCGGCAGCTGTATCGCTGTCGTCGTTGCCGACGGTCAACGGTGGCAACACGGCACAGGAGGCCGCTCTGACAGCAGCAGCAGCCACGGCGGCGGCGGCTACTGCTGCTGCCACCGCCTTGGTGGCCGGTGAGACGACGCCACCGACGCCGTCCCCGCCCCCGCCGCCGGGGTGCTGAGTGCTTTGCTAGTTTTGGTGTATCGTCTATTTATTGTTTTGTAGGAGGATCCTTTCACGTTTCTTTTGGATACCATCCGTTGTTATACCAATTGCCACGACCGCATTCTCTGCATCTTCATATCACATGCAGTATTGTGCGCGTGTTGTTCTTTGTCCTGTGCATTTTGTCATATCATTATTCATTATTCATTACTCATTATTTTTATTATTGTCATATCCCCATATGTAAAGCCAAGGCAAACAGGGACAACACGATTCCTGTTCTTTATATTTTGAACAGCAAATGGCTTCGCTAGGTAGTCTTAAACATTATATTGTTGTCTATATGTGAGCAGGCCGTATGAAAGTGAAGCCGACATACCTACATTGATCAACAGGTCCCTTATTCGTGCATCGTTCTCAAGCACGCTTGACTAGTCTCCGAGCTCTTCCAAGGTTCCATCCTTGTAGATCCATGGCCATTTCCCTCCATCTGTTGATGATCCTCGGCAAGTGTTCGCTAAAACGGAAGACGGAAGACGGTTCGCCCACGAGTGACGTATTGACCCGCGACGGCTCGAAGCAGCAATCGACATGCTCGAAACGGTGCATGGGGCTGTCCGGAAAGACCAAAAAGAAGACATTTGTAAATGCAAGGCGGCCACAGACATGCGCACACACGTACCCGCCCGTCCACCCCTGAATCGGCGACCTCGATTGTCTTGCGCCCTCTTGCACAGTGGATGTCGTCATGTTGGAGAGGCCACTCGTAGTTGCTGTCCTGTTGGTGGCTCCGGGACATTGAGGGATGCGGCCTGTCTCATGTCTCTGATGGGTGTGTGGCGCACGGCGGTTGTGCGCCACGGGCGTCCAGTCCCGCAGGCATCCGGCGGCCATCTGCAGGACCCAAGCTCCGACAATTTGCATGAACGACAACTTGGCGAGGGCGAGCCCATGCACAGCAGGTTGTACGACCCAGGGGTACGCGCCACTGGGTGCAAGTATTTGTTCAGGGCCAGACAAAATAACAGGCGCAGGGGCGCACTGTTGCAGCTGCCAGAATCAGAGTCTGCACTGCTGGATAGCTTTACGACGTAGCACAGGGAGCAAAACTAATGAGCCAGCTTGGGGACCTATTGGAACCGAATTGGAGGACGAATGTGGTACAAAAACCTAAAATAAAGCTCGTTTCTACTTTTTGTCTTTGCTTCCTTGCTTCATGACGTCGTCGTCGTATGTTGAGCGACACAGCCCTTTGCAGCAGAGACACGCTCGTTGTACACGCTCACTGCCCTGCCGTGACGTGTTTTCTGGTCGCAAGCAGGGGAGAAGTCAGCGGCCTGTAGCACAAAATTATGACGAGGAAGAGGAGCCCGTTTCTTCCTTCGTTCTCCGGCTGCCTCTTCCATGGTTCTCACCCCGGAACCACAGACCATGGACAAGACCCCGAGACAATGCAGTGTATTCCCCGATGGAATATCTGCAGATTATGTTTTGTTTTTTCTTTGGCTGATCCTCTTCTTGACCACCAAGACATTCCGTAGGGTTCAGCTTCGTCAACTGTGTCTGGCTTCTCCGAGTCTCATGATGGAACTGACGATCGGAGATGTAAGACGTGGACTCGTAAATCTGGTGTCAAGAAATACACTATAAACAGCATTAAACTCGTAAGACGTGATAGAATCAACGTATGAGATGCAATTGTAGCCGGTGCTTGGCCTTCCGGAACAGCACTGAGAAATACAAACACAGACAGAGGTATATGATGGCATCAAGTTTCACAGAGTTAGGATTTAGGCGAAACAATAACAGGTAAACCACCATAGAACACGTCAGTGTAAAAAGATCCGTAAGTTTGGCAATAGGTTGGTGTAATAGAGGAAAAGTGCAGATGCAGGCACAGAATTCGTCAAAACGGGGATGTATATGGAAACAGGATTCAAAAACGCCCTTCTTCCTTGCATCATGTCGTGATAAGCGACGAAGACATGGCATAACTAGTCCTATGAACCTGATTCTGTGCCTGTTATCAAGGGCTGTTGCAAGACGTCATAACCACGATGGAATCGTTTCTGGCAGCACCACTTTCTCGGACAGGTGCTTCGCCTCCACGTCATACGACAGTAAGGTAGCCATTCAGAGACCGACCAAGCAATTCCGCGAACATTGACGTGCGACGCAACATGGGTGAACGAAGCACGAACGTCATGTAACAAGCTCACAGGCTGTCTCATGGGGACCATTATTTCCTCTCGAAACAACTCACTGTCTCAGAACTGGTCGCCGACATGCGTAACGCGATATGCAAGGCACCCGTTCATGTGGCGTCCATTGGCACTGTCACCGACGGAGGTCATCTGGGGAGTCGCCCATGTTTCCAAAGACCCTTCCATCCATGCCCCTTTTGCTTGCTTACTTTGCCCCTGTTCCTGCATATGGCATGTGCCACGGGCGTCCACAAGAAGGCCGCAGAGTTTGGCATACGAAGGTATAGATTACAGGATGCAGACCTGTGTATTGTCACTGGTGACGTGTTACATTTTTGCAAGGAGGCGACCGCAGTTCATTCTCGTCCCCGTGCACAATTGTTTTGGCTGTACGCCAGAGACGAGTGACATAACAAAGTATTCCCACGTCATGATGCTGGACACTTCGGCACTCTTCATGACGTCGAGTCAAGTATTTCCGAAACCAACGTCTCTTTCTCTTAAGAACCATGCTAGGTGAGCCGCATATTTCGTAGACTGGATGGGATCCTTCTTCTTCGTACAACTAACAGTCTTGTACGCCATTCTCCACGCCAACCTCGTGATATTTGCATCTCTGTGTGAGCAATCCAACGTTTTTTTTGGTATGGGACCACGCCAAGGGAGAACTTGACTGTTTCTGAACATGGTCAAAGAAAATCCAACTATTCGGACCCAAAGAACTCTGCAAAGCAATGCTTACCACATTGGCTACGATTCTTTCTTTCTGCTCGTGGTTGGACTAAAAGGTGCTAAACGTCGTGTAATCGATGGAGAATTAGGGGCCGCCGTGTTGTAAGAGATGGATAAAACTACTTTAACACTTAAACACACGCATACATCTTCCCACGCCGTTGCAAACCACTACCGAAACAGGTAAATGACGGGAAACAAAGAACGCGAGATAACGCTCGAGGCATTGAATCGTTTGCGAGCTTGTCTGTGCAGGTACATGTACATCATGTTCGTGACGTCTCTTGATACGCGCAAACGACGCCTCTTCCCATTCTCTAGCTCAACGCGATTCTGCATCATAGCAACACATTAACCAAATATGTTACAGAGAGGCAAAGAATGGACAATGACAACCTGGTGATGTTTCAGCCACACACCCATATTCGTGATAAAACTCGCACCACTCATGCCTTCCAAGAACAAAATAATGGAAAGCATAAAATAAGGTACAACGTCCCCGTCAGGTTATACGGCCACCTCTCCTTTCCCCTCTCCAACGGCTTCTTGGTGCTTCTGTTGGTTCTCTCGGCCATATTGATCAGAGCTTGGAGTTTTGCGGACGGCTAGAGTGTCAAACATAGGGGGTTTTGTTATCAAGATATGGGCAATAAGTGCTGTTTGGCGTGACAAGGTTATGACTGTAACTGTATCAAGGGATGCCCCTTATCAAACTGAGATACGTTGCGTCGTTGTAAATAATCCCTGGCAAAATAACTCTACGGACGTCGTCTCTCTCCCTCTGCTCTTTCATCTCTTTTCTATTAGAGTCGGTGAGTTTGATTTGGCGAGGCTTAAACGGTCGTTACGCTGTATACCGTATCCGGCCAGGATATTTCCATTGGTGCCTTAGTTGTTTTTGGTCTTTACTGTTCACTTGAATAACGTCCAATGGCATTCAATGGCATTTAATGACATCCCAGGAACCTGTATTTGATCTCAATCCATATAAATAGAGGAACCAAAAAAGAAAACAATAATTTCGTGAGAACCAAAATTATGAACACAGCTATACCTTGCGTAACAAATGTTCAGACAGCATTACAGCTGTTTGTCGACTTGCTTTGTTGTACATGTATAAATCTTTCCTTTCTGTGTATTTTCATACCACGGATACACTTGCACCTGCACGGACAGTTTACCGGCACGTCTAATAATGTGGCGTTCTGGCTGTCGTGTAAGCATATTTGGCCATGTCTGGCGACCGACTTACAAAATGGGTTGCATCACATTTGCCAAAGAGGGTGTGTCATTTTGAGTTTCCAATTGGCCGTCCACCGTGCGTCGTACCTGTAAGGGGTGGGCGGACAGCGGAAAGGCAAAACATCCAAAGGGGCCGAAAGACAAAGAACTTGACAACAAAGAAAAGGGGTGCACACAACAAATACCAACAACCAGGTCGGAATGAACTGGGTGAAGCAAGGTTTGACGATCTTGTCCAAACTGGGCGGACAAGGGCAACAGAGACACAGAGCACGGACACAACATTTCCGAACAAAAGGAGAGGACAGCGGGGACGCGGACGATCATGTTATGCAAGGCCCTGCACATTTTTGGGATTCTTCAGAAACAGCGACGGAAATGAAGGAGGATATTTCTACGTCGTACGATCGCAAAACGATTTTGCCTATATAATTCATGTCATTTTTACTGTATTTTGGTTTGATAGAATGTACTCATTCCCCCTCTCAATTCCTCCCTCTCGGCCTCCTCTATGTCGTATTTCCTGGGGTCCCTCGACACTGTCGATCTTGTACGTTCTTGGACACCACCATGATCCTTCAGCCTTGTCCCTTTTTGCACCAACAGACTGGCAGCAGCTGTCAATCTCAATGACGCAGGTCGAACTAGAAAAAAAAGATAAAGAAAATAAAAGGACGGTTCTGGTAGACACGGACGTACGGCAGTTGTCGAAGACGATTCGATTTTCGTCTCGTTTTATCTGCAGGTTGTCTCTGCTGTTCTGAATAGTGTTATTTGTTTTGTTTGTCCATTGCTTACAGCTGAGCTGAAAGAGTGTCTGGATGGCTCTTTTGTTATTGGTGGCAGTCGTTTCAAGTCTGGCCGGCAGGCTCATCGCAGGCTCTGCATGGTTCTTCCCGGTCAGTTTTGCTGTTTAAAAGCTGCATGCTCTTGTACAAGCAGAAGGGTAGCTCCGATGAAGCTAGCCGAGAGGTTAAGGAGGGATCTCACGCCTCTCGTTGTTGTTTGGCTCCATTTTATTTCATTGTCCTTCCATTTTGTCACCCTCAACCAATCGCATCTTGGCCATGTTAGGTTGAAATCGAATGGACCTACGATGCTTCTGGCCCTGTACTTCCTCTTTTGGGACCTCCATGTCAACTGCATCCAGACAAGGCTCACATATCGCCAACAGAATCGGCATCTCGAATCATTAGGCCACCACTTCACTAGCCTCTTCACCATCCTTTCGTTTTCTTTGTCGTCGGTTTTGTTCTGTACTTCGTATGTGAAGCACGCCTGTTCTCGTTTTGCAATGGTGGTAGGTCTTCTACGACATTTCCCTGTTGCAGCAACGATGGACACTCCCGAGGGAGCCAAGATGAGAGGGCCGCTGTCATGAGATGATGTACAGAATCGCTGACCGGTCCGTTACAGCTTGCTGTGTGCAGAACGTTATGCCCGAGTCCGGAACCGCACTATTGACGAGACGTGGCCAACGCTGAGTGTCCATGCAAAGTCCCCCTCAGCCTCACAAATTAGGAGAGAAATGACAAAAAGCAAAGTAGGGAAGGTGTAGCTACCCCGTCGGGCGTCGAAGCCATTCTTTCGTGAGGAGCGGTGTAGCGTCTTCGCTTGTCCGCGCAACTGTATTCACCCACGCTTTCCATTCCGCCTGTCTTGCCTCGTACGTCTGGATCTGTTTCGTCTGTATCCTAGGCCGCGAGTGCACTGCGCATGGCTCCACAGCGGCCCCCGTTGCCTCGTGGAACTCGGTTGTAGGAGAGCTGACCAGTGAAGCCGGACAGAGAAACGTCAGGTTTGAAGCGGGGATGGGGCGTGGACGGACCAAAAGCAAGTGGAAAAACGACAGGCTTTGCATTCATGTTGCCTAAGGAGAGTGACAGTTGTCAGTAGCGGGCATCACAGGACCACATGACGTGGGCGACTCTGAAGGAAAGTGTGCAGTTGGTGTAAGAAAGGCGCTGCTGGTGTCTTGTTTACTTTATCGTGCAGCCGTTCCCTTCCAGGCATGAACGACTGCAGCAATCTTGCTGGTGGTCAGCCTCCTGCTTTGCCCTCATCTTATTTTCTGCACACGTTTGAAATCCATGTGACTCTCCTCCTATTATCTTCGACTCAACGCGTCCAAATTGGGACTTACGGTTACGGTTAACAGTCCTTGTCATTATTTTATTTCTATTTTCGTTTCTGTGCCCATTTCGCGTCGTTTTGTCACCATTCCGAGTCATGATCTCCTACACGTATTGGCTGCTGGTCGTCCACAAGGTTACTCATCCTGCACCAATCTGTTGGCTGTCACATTTGTGCTGCGTTGGGAGCGGCTGCTCACTGGTGACTGTTAATGCGTTCCAACTCGCCCCTGCTCATTCCATTGTGACATTTTACTTTCGGCCACCAACAGTCTGCCCGGTTGAAGACCGTTGAACGCCCCCGTTTTAACCCTTGTTTTGTCCCTTAGTTCGCCTTAAGCCGTTACCGTCGACCGCTCAACGTTGGACGTGGGCATTTGACACTGCGAATGCTCCCCACGGAGTTCTTTGATGTGGCGATGGCGTTTTCTTGTCTAGTCCAATCAGCACGAGCACCTACAACCTTCGATGAAAACAAACGAGCCGTTTGCTCTTAGCTTGGCTCTCTTCTATACCTAATTAAGCGCCTTCTCCGTCCCCATCTCCTATCCCCATTTCTGTCCCCATTTGGACTGCCCCCATCTCTCGCTGGCCATCGCTTCCGTCAACCCCCTTTTCTCATTTGCTTTTACGAGCAGGTAGAATTGGGCCTAGACCGACCCGATCGAGTTGCCTTTTGAGCGTTTTTGGGGAGCATTTGTAAAATGACAAGCTTCGCCCGTTGTGCGGTAATCTGAACGAATCTTCGGAATTTAAGATCCTGCAATACGCCGTAGCATCGTCCTGCGTTGCTCAGCGCGAATAACAAAATAGCAAATAGAAGCGTTGAACAACAGGATGGGAAAATAGTGAAAATCAACAATACCAACGGCGATGACAATACAACCAGACCTCAAGGGATTTACAGAAATGGAAAGTGCCTTTTGTATCTGAATGGCCGGCTGTTGGGATATATTCCCATCATTACGGTGAGGGTGTGGCAAAGATGGGCAAAGACGCACGCAGATGTTGTCATCGCGAACGGATCTGACACAGCAATGCTCAAGAGGACGTGGTCGTGCCCAGGACATGCCGCGGATGGATAATGATGAAAAGGTCTCCTTTCTGAGTTTCGGCTACCAATGCGTGACGATGGGTGCGGCTCGAATTTGAAAGAACTTTGTAAGCCGTCACGCATCCATCTCATTTGCCCGACTACGGGGGAGCACCACATGCTTGCAATTCTGGCTGAGGATATCATGTCTCACAAAAAAAAGGGGAAAGGATATAAAGATGCAGAAATACACGGACAGAACCCTGTGCGGCTCCAACGCCACACGCTCGAATTAGATTTTGAATGTACGCCCCAAAGATTCCTCGGAGCGATGTTAAAAACAGTGTTCTATATTTCCAGCTCACGTCTACAAGAATACCGGCCTTGTGTATTGCTCAAATCCATCCGGGCGAGAATAGTGGCTGCACGACGTGAATAAGGACAGTGGCGAATAGATAATAGTAACGAGTAGGGGAAGCGAAGCATTCTGAAATGCTTGCATTTGAAAGTCTTTCAACCTTTTACTGTAAATAAGTCTGCCCTCTTGTCGTCGTTTTGAAAAATAGAAAAGTAAATAAAATAAAATAAAAATTCGAGGAAAAGCACCAAACAAAGTAATACAATCGGCAACAACACCATGGCAGACAAGCATCGTGAGACCAATCGCTGTTCCCGGATCCCAGATATCCAAGGCAGCGCGCATCGAAAAACAGACTACGTAAGTGTGATACGTCGCAGTCAGTGTATCCTGCTCATACAAGTGATCAATTCTTATCAGCATTTCGAAAAATGGAATTGACACAGAAACGGATACGCTGGCAGTCCGAACCAAGATGATCAGCACCGGCCTTTTTTCTGGAGAACAAAATTCCAGAGACCATGTTGCCAGGTGGCTGACAGGGGTGGGAAACGGACTTTTACTGGGGTTTCTTGCAGGGGTTCTCAAAAATAAAGAAAGGCTGGGCAAAAAACAACCGCACCCGAGTCTCTGGTTACCACTAACACTGGAAACAAAAAAGGTAGAAAAAAGGCCAAGGTCTGGCCAGTGCCCAGAGCGGAACGAAATGCCGGCCGGCAGCCTCTTCATTTCCTCCGTGTTTTCTCCTATTTTCCCACACCAGTCTTCCGTAGCGCTGGCGTCGTCTGGCGCTAGTTGGTATTTTCAGTCGGGGGGTGCTGTTTAAAAAGCATGAAAATATTTCGTAGACAGGCTGTCACCCGTTCAGCCGCAGATCCAAGATGCTTCCTTGTACATTTTCCAGCGTCAACCAAGGGGGTCACGTTTACACAAATGTACAAAGTACAGCATGTTTGACTCTGGACAGCATCTGCCTTTCTGTGTGGGGAAATACATCGCTTGAAGGACATAAGCGTCAAGACCCCCGTCCAAAAGGAAATCAAACCCTCAAGGAAAGGCCGCAGTGTCACTTTGTAGTCCAGCTGTTTCGTACATCAACCAATCAAACTCTGGTCCTACATTTTCGGGATTTTGATAATTTGTATCGGTTGGCTGATGTTGACACGATACTGTTACTACTTTTGAGCGAAACTGGTGAGCCTTAAGATATGGCCTTTGTGACGCGACACGCTGACCACAGCCGAACACACGTCAAGGAAGGGAATAGTAAAGGGAGCAAAGGGGGAAAAGGGCCTATTTTGTTTTGTTGTTTTCACTGTTATTACGACTAGTATTAGCGAGCGCGCAACCTAAGACACAGTCTGGGCCATCTCTCGGGCGGGCAAAAACAGCAGTGTTAGAAAAAAGAGAGACACCTTTTGTTTCTTTATGTTCTCCCTGGAAGAGCAGGGCCGGGTATCGGGCACAAGGTATCTTTGTTAGGAAAGGAATGAAAAAAAGCTCAAAAGACACATCCAATTTTTTTTTTTCGTTCTAGCCAAACCTGTGTAGTAAACAGCGCATCAAATGTGGAATATGATGCAGACAACCCCTATTTTGCTTTGCATTCTCGTGACTGAATTCGGAGGCCTCTCGCAGCAAATGCAGGCCATCGTGCAGCTGTTCGTTTCGAAGCCTTTCTGCATTTTCTTTTCTTCTACAATTTTTGACCTCCAGCTCTCTCTCCGGAGCAAAGTCTCCCGCCTTGCGCCTCTTTGCATCGCGTGTGGTACAGATGCCGCACCATCTCTGGTCTGCCAGCCACCCCACATGCTATCCATCACACGATCCTCTGTTTCGTACAGCTCTGCCTTTGCCGTATCCATTGCCTCTTTTCTCTTTTTCAGGTGGAAAGGATATGAACAGAAACGAACAGAGCCAGTTCACAAGTGCGCTAGAGGGCGGCCCATTCGATCCACACCCAATACAACGCCGCTAGGAGCGAGCTTTCCACGTGCTCGCATGGGTTGTTGATCTGAAGAGCTAAGCCGGGACTCGTATGCTGGAGACTAGGGGCGGCCGTCGCGAGCAACGAAAATCAAAATGGAGCAGAGAGACGCCGTGAAGAGTAATTGCAGAGGGAGCTCACTTTGTGCTTCGTGCAAGGGCCTTGCCGCTACAGTAGTCTTGTTGTTGACAGCTTCGACTTCCCAAAGCCTCTTTTTGGCCATAGCGCCCTGCATGCCAAGTGGTTTATTCCTTATCGGGGCTCGTTGTTGTGTCTGAGAGGAGGAGGGGACGAGCAGAAACGAGGGGTATGCCACTGTGGACGAGCATGTTGGATTTGCAAGCCCTACGCCACTACAAAGGTACGGAGGATTAAAGTGAGATAGACGAGGAGGGTTATGAAGAAAGGAGTGAAAAAGGGATGCAATGTGAGAGACGGGAGAATATGGCTTGTAAGAGCCCAATTGTACGACAGACGATGATTCTTCGTCTTGTTTCTTGTTTATTCACGGCCACTTTACGTTCCCCTTTGTAGGGCTGTGTTGCAGATCATTGCCGATTTCTGGGTATGTGGAGCGAGGCAAGACATCAAACAGATTGACGGAAAGAAAAGGAGTGAACAGACGCCAGGCCCGGGGGAGGCGACTAACAGGTGGCGTTTCGACTACCACGGCCTGCCATCCCGGTTGTCGAGAACGGTCTGGACCTTGGGTAGTCATGTCGACCACGTCGTATGCTGGGGTGGAAAAGATGGCTTGACAATTGGGGACTCGGAGACAAATGGGCGAATAAGGAATGTAAAACACGTGGTCGAGAGAAGATCAACCAAGAAGATTACCCTCTGAGGAGAAGTCCATACCTGCCCCAGGGACACGTCCTTGACTGGCCTTTGTTTGAATTCAGCTCGTCATGCCGGCCTTGTGGCACCCCCGTCTCATTTTGTCTCAGTATGTAGGACTGCGCGTTGCTGCTCTTTCGTTTTTTTTTTTTTTTTTTTTCCCTTCTTTCCTTCTGCTTCTTAGCAAAGACTGGAGTACGCTTCCTTTTTCTCGGGACCGAGAGTCTGGATCATGACCCTAGCGCGTCGGGCCCCCTCCACATACTCGTATCGTTTGTCGTTCGATCTGTAAAATTGACGCCGTTTTCCTATCTGCCGTCTCATGGCATCTTCCTCACTTCCTTAGTGCGGTGGCTCCAGTTGAAACGACGGCACGATGCAAGGAGGAAACGATATCAAAACGAGAAATAACAATCCACGAGTTTTTGACCAGTTGTGTGACCCAGGATCAAGATTTTGAGTTTGGCAATCTGCGGTCTACAGTCTTCTTCTTTTCAAGTAAATAGCGTTGCAGCACGGGCGCTTGTACAGTTGTGCAAGTGAGCAAAATCCTCATGCACGAGTGTCAGTTTCGGGACGGCCCATTGGGCCATAGTCCACCCAATAACACCCTAATATGCCATTGTGCACTGCAACGGTGTCTCTGACATGCTTTATGATTTCACAGACAGCTGGGCTTCCAGCTTGACAGGCTTACAGGCAGGTCAACGGAAAACCGTTCACATTCACCGGCGTGCATACGCAGGATTCTGCACAGGACAGCGCGCCGTCACACGCATCACACTTGGATATTGGGAGCTAGAATCTTTCAAGGAATGGAAGGAACCAAAAGTACTGAAAAAAGCGCTTTGGGCAATTGGATATATTCAGGCACGCCTGGTGGAAGTCACGAATGGCGACACGCAGTGTTGGCAAACACCAAGGGGTGCGCAAATACTACAGTCGTATTGCGAAGGAAACAGAACCGTCGACCAGTGAGAGGAACAGGCCTGTCCAGCTGAAAGTGACAAAAGCTCGTATTGCAACGCACGATGGTCCACGAGAATGACAGCACAGGGATCAATGGAGATGAAAAGGCGGCAAAAGGCGAACAGCGGCAAAGGCAGCCTGCTTGGAAGTGACAGACTCGCACACTGTGAGTGGATATGAAATTCGCGACGGGCGGCTCAAAAGCGTTGGCGTTGGGGGGCTGGTTTCCTGCAAATGTGGACGGACGTGGCTTGGTGCTCCAAGACAAAGTAAATGGGGATTGAGGAAAACAAACGGTCTGAAAACGATCGCCGCCAATAAAGCCACAACGGTAACGGAGCGTTTTCTTGACCACCAACCGTTTTGCCACTCGGCGCGTAGTGCATGTGCAAGTGAAGGATAAACATGGCCGCACCGCCAGGCTGGGAATGGATTGGCTTTCTGAGAAAGCAAATGTAAAACGACGTGAGCTCATGTGGAGCAGTGTTCAGGAGAACGGGATACTTATTTCTTTGGTAGACATTTCTTAAGGGACTCGACATGGGGAGGGTCTGGACCTTTGGTAATCCTCGCCAAAACTGGCCAATCCCGGCAAACCCGAAGCTGTGGGCAGGTATTTCGAAAAAGGAAACATTTTCCAAAGGCAGCGCTTGGAGGTGTGCTGAAGGCAATTTTGGCTACGACAGTCCCTGGGCCCTGTACAAATGTACGCGACACATGGCGCCCACGACGCATTGTAATCAATTCGTTTTCCACCAAGGATCATTCGTGGGGGCACAAAGAGAAATATTACAACTACCGTCCGCCGGCGCCCGACAAAAAGAAAAGAGACAGCGCGACCGTATCGTGACTTTATGAGGTAGCTATTGGACTTTCAGCAATACATTTCCTCAAAGGACGTTGTATCTTTAGAGAGCTTTGTATAGTTTTCAAACAGGCGGACCGTGTGGCGAAGGCGGTAGACTCCAAGTTGGAAGCAAATAAAGAAATGATGACGGCCTGGCTTGACGGACTGGCTTCGGGTAGCAAATGTTTCCAGCTTCGTGACTGAGCCCAACGATGCCATAACCAAAGAGCATCATGGAGACTGTATGTTGTACTCCGTACTTACGATGTATGCCGTATGATGTATCGAATACAACGGCGGCAAATTCCAAAGTGCCCAGACCGCAGACCCCGAGCCAGACCTAGACCTGGGCCTAGACCCGGGTCTTCCAGACTGCAGAATACAGGCCTCTGCGTACGTGCAAGTATGATGCGCAGATCATTGACGTCGATTTCTGTAGTGCTTTGCCAATGTGGACTGGCGCTGAATTTTCCTTCAATTTCTGCTTCTTACTTTTCCATGGACATCGATATGCACAACTGCGAGCTGAGCAGCTGAACTTTACTTCAGTGCACTGCCTCGTTCTTTGATATGCATCTTGGCTTCCCCAATGGTTTCCCTTTGGGGTCCCTCGCTCCCCTTTCCGTGCCCCTTTCGGTCACCCCTTTGATTGTTTTTTTATTTCTTTGAATGCATGTCATTCTCGCCGCCCAAACACAAGACCACCGGGTCTGGCTGCATTTGGACCCAGCCCATTGAACATTTCCTCTATCTGGCCAGTCTCGTATTCTCATCGGGAAAGGCGTGGCTGTCAGCCCGTTGGTTGTCTCGGACAAAAGACCCGAATACACGGTTTCCTCTTCCGTCTGCGGCCTCTTGGAGCCGACGCGACGTGCATCGTAGTCCCATCCAGTCTCGCGTGAAAGCCAAAGAAGGGAGACGATGGACAAATATCATACTGTCAACTTTATGCTGTGCATTTCGATCTTGGCACTGTGTGGTGCTCATCGCTTGCTTGAAAACATTCATAGAGAGGGAAAGGGGCGCTGGGCGTTTCAAAGCCACCGGCAGACGTAAAAATGCGTTTACGCCACCTGGACGCGAAAACAGCATTCCTTAAGAAACCTAAAAAAGACCTCTTCGCATGGTCAACGGAATAAGCCGTCGAGGCAATTAACACAGCTGACAAGATAGGGGAAGTCGCTTAAACACCGCTTTGTCTGCTTCACTCCAACGGTTTGCCAATAGAAACGAGCGCTGTGCGCTGTAAGATTACCCTGTTGCCGGATGATTTCTTGACGCCTGAAATATGTGGAAAAAAGGTGCAGTGTAGTCGATAGGCCACACCACACCTGGTCAATGTAACAATTCAAGACGGAAATTGTATGATGGTTTGTGAAGGTTGTACTTACCTGAAAGAGTTAATCACACAAGCTCGTTGTGTTCTTCAATGATGGCAGACGATTCGAGTCCTTTGAGAGTCCCGTTTTCAGAGGCGCCCATTTTGGTTGGGCTGAGGAACTAGGCTTCCAACAGTACAGGCCTCAAGTCAAAACCCGACAGCCTTCGATGAAGACCAGCCAAACGAATTTGACGTGGTGTTTGCAAGCATTGCCAATTGACAGGGCTCTCTGCCGTTGTGAGCGAAGCACATAACAGGTTCCGTTTGTCGGTCCTGCTGAATATGCGGCAGCTTGCCTCCTTGCCAAAATTAGAAAGCCACTCTGCCGGGACCATGCGAGGAGCCAATTGCCTGGGCCAGTCCCAAATGACAAAGGTCGTATTACCTGTACGTCGTACCAAGAGCACCAAGACTGCGGCGCGGGATGCTTGGGGCCTGGCCGGTCGCACCACCCCTATATCGTAGATAATATAGGGAAGGGATTAGGACGTTCAGCTCAGAGACGGATTCAAATAAGGATCATGTTGAGGAAAGCGCAAAATGACCAACTGGACTGGTTTTCAGAAGGAACAGAAAGGACAAGCCTCTAGGGGAAAAGAGCAGGGCTGCGCCTGCCAAATTGCGAACACTCAGTCCCAAGAGAGGAGAAAAAAGGCCTATGAGGCAGGAGCAAACGACGAACAGAAAGTTGACAAGGGGATGGAAGGGAAGCAAGTGCGGAGGCCAAGACTGGTTCGGCCAATGGGATACTCCTGTAAGCGAGATCGATCCACTTCCTCGCCGTCTTCGCAGTGCCCAGCGCGTCCCACGGTGTTTGACAGGTCGAGGCCAGGCCCGGCCAAGGCACCGCGCCTGAGCCCAGACCCCATCCGATGTTTCTTGCCACCAAGAAGCCCTAAAGCCGCTGAAGCCCACTGAAGCCCACTGAAGCCAATCACATGGCTCCCCGCCTTGTCTTAGTGTGCTTGTGGACCTGCCACTCGGCCTGGCCCAGCCTACCAGTTGGTGAATCTCCCTTGTGTTGCATTGGAGGTTACCCTCCCCCCCAATTCCCCCTCCCCAGTGCTGGCCTCTGCAAATTTCCCTGGTCTGACGTGTTTGTTCAGTTGGCATCGAAAAGTACGGAATACCCACACACATGGCAGAAAATACATCATTTTAGCCTGGCATGCAGGGCGGAATGCCAATACGGTGTCTGTTGTGTGACTGTCGCCTCTGCTGCCGCGACTTGCCGTCCCTGCCGCATTGCAGTCCTTCTTTGCGCTTTTCATGTCTTCTCTCTGCCCTCTCCCCCCTCTCCCTCTCCCCTCTCCCCTCTCCCCTCTCCCCTCTCCCCTCTCTCTCCCTCTCCATTTTTTCAGGACCCGTCGGCGCTTGCAATGTCCGTTCTCACGATATTGCATGTCCATACGACGAAATGTGACTACACCCATAGTGCTGCAAAGAAAACAGATGGTACCCAGAGCTACACAAGACTGGTCATGACAAATACGACTTTTTGCCATGTCATTTTCGTGAACCCTTCAGGCCATGTGCCTTCCCCCCTCTCCGTCGTAGCACCAGTCGACTCCCTCTGCAACGCACGAACAAGTACAAACGAGGGCTACTTGGTACCCTACTGAGCAGGTCGGCGGCCTCCTGCCTTGCCAAATACTACTTCACGATGTGCTGTCCTATGTTGCGATGTGTGACATTTGACGTTTGCCGTTGAACGCTATGTCGCTGGCGAGGAGACTGTCGGCGCTCGATGCACGGTGCCGCGCGGGAAATAGGTCATGGGCAAATTGGTCACAATCCCATGTTAATTTGCAGAATTCCACGTCCGGGTCTAGGCCTGGCCGCGCTCCCAATTCCGCCTTGGGACGCTCTCTGGAGTTTGTCGGTAGAGCCAGAAAGAGGCAAGGTCTCGCCGGGGGGCAAGTGACGAAGAAGAAATATGGAGAGGGATGTGCAAAACTAAATGTCTCGAACACGTTGTACCCCTGCTTGCAGGGTTGTGAGAGGGAGCAAAAAGAGTGGAAAATGCCCTACTCCGTACTCCGTACGACGTAATACATTTCAACAGCATTCGACATTTTCAAACAAGCCAATCCTTCAATCAGCTGTCGTGTGCTGCTAGGAGTACCGTTTGACTGTTGCCTTTTCTTGTCACGATTTTTCTTTATTTCTCTTCGCGGAGCCTTTTTACATTGGGCTCTCCACCGCGTGTAAAGAAGGGCGGCCGAGAGGAGAGTAGGGTCAGTATCTCGTATGATGAAGAAGGCTAGTGTATCAAGAAGAGAAGGGATCGGCACAAGCTGCATAGAGGACGAGGTCTGGCCAGGTCTTCGACCAGGCTGCATGCAGTACCGCTGGGGGCAGTTGGAGTTGAAATCGTAGAAATCGCGACTCTTGAACGATGCGAAGTTCCTATTTATTTTAGCGGGAGAGGGGGTCGTCCGTCTACTGAGAAGAGTCCATAGATGGCCACCACCAACGGGCGATGGGAAGGGAGTGGCAAGAGTAAGCTCTGCGGCCTTCTTTATCATGCCTTTTCTCGTTTCTGCCTCTCTTTGAATTGTCTTCGCTCAGTTCGGTATCCACCAAAGCTGTTTTGGGCAAGAAAGTCCCGTCATAGCTTCCCGAATCAGCTCGCTCAGCCCTTTCAGCACGGCGAAGAGGGCTAGGTTTTGCAACGATCACAACCACTCCCTTGGACCATGGTGGCTGTTTTGTGTTTGTTTAGTGGCTGTTATATGGCGCGTGTGTGGCTTGGTGCCGTCAGGAACAATGCATAATCCAAACGTTAATGGTTGCAACCTCTTCAGATTTGTAGTTTAAGGTTGCCTTCATAGATAAAGCCACTGGAAAGATGACACACAGTTTACGAAAAGCCCAACGGACAGTACTATGTCCATGACCGTATAGACTTTTGGACCTGATTTGTCTAAATGCTTTGTGTGTATGTGTGTGCACATTATTAGAGACTGGCCTCCCTGCTGTGTGGTCTTGTCGTTTCCCATCTATGTATCTCGTCAATTTTACTCCCTTTTTTGGCAAAGCTTTTCTGTGCCCCTTTGCCCCTTGTTTCTTCCCCTCAGCCTCCTGGCAATTGACAGAGTACTGATTTTTGTGAGGCAAAACCCAATAGGAATGAAACTTAATCTTTGTCGGTGTTTACCGGCGGCAATCCTGGCCTTGAGAGCTCTGGTTCAATATGATAGAACCACTCAAAGGCTGCCAAACAGTCAAGGAAAACGCTGCCTTTACAGCTTATAATATGTATTGAGCGTCTGAATATGGTAAACAAACCAAAGAAAACAGAAAACGAGACAAAACTACAGGGAAGATCTCGCCGCCAATCACTTCGCCGTCGGTGGACAGAACTTTAGTTTTTCTTTGTGGCCTCCTTGCCAAAACGAGGAGAGTAGCCTCGTGTACTGAGAAAAGTAGTCCATTCGCAATGCAAAGCACTGTGGGATGGTAATCATCTTATTACCCGAATGGGAAAGGGCGATCCCTGCAGGAATACCGTTCCGTAATAACATTTCACAAAGTGTTGCTGTCCAGGTACTGGGGTCGACCATGCTTCGCCCCTTCCCAGCGTTGCCAAAACGGACCACTTTGGGTGCCAGCCGTGCTACTCTCTCTCGTCTGTCCCCACTTGTTGTGTTGCCAGCTGATCTTACGGAGTACTGTAGTACTGTCTCTCCCAGCGGCCAGTTCCGCTGCATTGCGGAGCAGTGTCCCTCAGCACACCATTCTTAGCAGTGTAACGCTGTAATATGCCTTGGCGCCCTGTTCTCACAGGACACCGGATCGTTCGTGTCTGTGGTTGTGTGATTGCGTAACGAGGGAAAGTGCGAAGCTCGAATGAGGCTTTTGACAATTTACTCCGTATGGCTATGAAGGTTCGTTCTTGCCCCCATCGCATTCGGTCTTCGTTCATCGCTCCTTCCTCAACCCCCAGAACTTGTAAAAACATCATTCGGCGATGTTGGCCGTAAAGAAAAATGCGGAAAGTGACCCCGTTCCGACCCCTTTACTCTGTCACACTACGGAGTACGGAATGCTTCGTACAAGAGCATCCCAAGTCCAGTCCCTGTTCTCTGGCCGCGCTGCAGCTGAAGCCATTATGCGACTCTAATATGATTTACATCGGCTCCATGGGTGCGTTTACACCGGGCACGGTCGCGTCACTCGCTTCTTGACAACACGACCTTCTGCAAGGGTTGATGGCAGTGGGCGAGCTCCATCGGGAGCGGGTGACAGCTAGGTGGGGAGACAGGGAGACACAGGTAAAGCCCATTGCGTTTTGACCTCACTTTATTTTAGGCCGTTCCTTTGCCGTGTTTACGTGCGCAATGAAATTGCAGAGTCTAGCCTGCTCATGGACAGTTATTCTTTTTCAAAATTGCGGCTCCCCATCGGCTTCGTTGTGCGTGGCCATTTGCTAAGACCGACGAAAGAAAACAGGAAACGGGGCGAGAAGAAGACGGCGGCTCGAAGCTGAATACCACGAACCGCGTGCAAGGAGCAAAGACCCGGAAAAGAGGACCCATCCCAGCGCCAACTCTCCCGCTTCTTAATGTCGTATCCCGAGTAGATGGCGTTCAGACATGTCAAGGCGACCCTGGGCGCTGTGTACGACATAAGGCCCAGCCAACAAACCTACAAAGTTGGTTCCGGCTTTGAGCACATTAGACCTCTGTCGGGAGGGGAAAACCCAAAAGACAAGACGAAGGAATCGCAGTCCCGGCTTAAATCAGCACGCACGGAGAGGCCGCTACAATCGCTATGTTTCTATTACTGTCATGTTGGCGTTCCCGATGCGCGGACACCCAACAATCCGCTCTTCCAACACTGACAGATCCTCGTTTGGTCAACGATCTCTTTACACAGCCAATTCAACCGAACGTGTAGACATGGGATGGAGAAGCCGACGCCGGGACTCGTCTCTGGCCGTGGTCTGTGTTCTTGAGACCCCTGCCCTTTCGTTGCCTTTTTCACTTTTTCCTTCCCTTTAGCGCCACTTGCCATGTGCTCTGGCAGGTAGCTGCTGGAGAAATGAAGCAATGATCAACACAACCAAACCAACCAAAAGCCACAGTCCTGCGCTAAGAGAACGAAGAAGTGTCTGAAGTGTCTGAAGTGTCTTGCCATTTTCTTCTCACAGAGCTGTCACATACTCCGTACTCTCACCGTGCCTAAATCACCAGCATCTCCAGGATAGCATAAAGTAAGAGATCCCATGGTGGCTGAACATTGTGTTCCCAAGAGCCTCTGCTGCTCTCTGGGTGGCCCTGCACTTTCTTTTTTTCTGTCCCCCTGTTTTACTTTGTCCTTTCATTTCATTTTCTTTTTGGGGGGCGTGGGGTCTCTTTGTCTCCCTTTTTTTCCGAATGCCTTGCAATCCTGGTGTGAAGGTCGCCGAACAGTCGTTTTGCTTGCAGCCAAGTCACCCCTGCCAAAGAAACAATACCCACTCACACCTTGGGTGACTCGCTTTTTTTAGTCCATACTTTTCTTCCCTTTCCGTTTTCTGTGCGAGGACATATGCAGGCACGCACCATCACCGATGTACAAGGACTCGACAACTCATCTGATAGTAAGGACGAAACACTTTACCAACACAAGTTTGGGTAACGAACCAAAAGATGGTCCAAGAACACGTCCCATCTCGCAGCTTTACGCTTTGCGAGGACCTTGCGCAGCCTATTCCTCTCTGAGTGCCGCTCGTGCATGCACTCTTGATTTCGGCATCATGAAAACATCAGGTGGAAGGAATGTCACAGCTCGTACATACATTTACCTGAATTTCTACCCGGCACTGTGCGGAGTACACGTACACAATTGCAACGGATATCACGCTTGTTTCCACACAATCTTTGCCTCTAGATACCCTTCTCTCCCGCCTTGAGAGGTAGGGTCCGGTGGTC